TAAACATATTAATGTTGAGTTTTTATTTTTTTGACTGTTCAACCCTGAAAATGTAACCAGTTTAAGTAGTTATCAAGGTGGTTAATTAATATATTTTACTGTATGTATTATATTATTGTTATATTATTCCTTTTTTTTGGGCATAGGAATAAGAAATATAAATTCTTAAAAAGGCTTGGATTCTCCTTTAAATACTCAATGCATGATTATGATATAATTTCATCCTCAAAGCATGTGGTGCAGAAAAATAACAGGTTAAAACACATTAAACTCATTATAGAAGCCCATTGGGGGATCTCAATCAAATGAGCATGTAAACATAAAAATCGTAATGTAATTTTCCACATGTATTTGTTCTAGGATTACACTGGACTTGACTTGCTGGATATGAGAAAAGCAGGAAAAGCAGTCAGCACGTTCCATTTCAAAGTATTTAATCTTTTGATTGCAGTCCGTCAGGTTGTAGTAGTTACAGCTGAGTGGTTAATTAGACTAGTTAGTGTAGTATTTCTACAAATAAAAGAAAGTGCACATACAGGTCAAATTCCATCATATGATTTTGAATAAACAACAACAATGAACAATTCACAAACGTCAACATACATTTGCACTTAGCACAAGTACGACAATGAAATTAGGTTATACCCCCTAAGCTGACATTTTTCATTATACAACGTGAGGAACTGCAGAAGAATTGTAATTCATGCACGGACACTTAATTTATTTATTTTTCAAATTTTCTTTATGAGACAGTTTCACATATATTCATTTATGGACTACATGTTAAATTGTCAAATGAATTGAATTTGTTTTTCTGGGGGTTTTTTTGTAATTAAGTTTCTTATCTAATGGTGTTTTTTCATTTTAAGGAAAATGTCCCTGATATTGCCCTTTAAGAAACGTATCGTCATAGTTTGGGGGCGTAACCCGGAAGACTTTTCAGTGATGTCATCTGGCGACAACATGTTCCTCTGCTGTGAATCGAAAAGTCCGTGGTTGTAGCTTTGGTTTTATGAAGTCAGTTTGTAACATCGCTGTTGAATTACTCAAATCAAGAGGAGCTCACAGATCCGCCGCGGCTTGTCGAGTCGGAGCAGAAATGTGCAAAGAGCTCAAGACCAAAGTGCTGCGTTTACTGCCGCCGACCTCCAACGGGCCGACTGTTAACCAGGAGGGCCAAACAGGTGAGCTGAAGTACACGTGGGTTGCTGTAGACTTGTTTGTTTTCCAAACAGGTGAATGTCTCCGAGAGGTTTCAGCGGCTGAAGACAGATTGACATAAGGTGTTTGTCAGTAAACGTCACAGTGTGTTGCATCAGACTCCTGATTTTCCTGTTGTCAATGATATGGACCTTCCCCGGTTTGTTTTTAAAAGGTGAAATCCTTTCTGTGATTGTGAAAACATCAGTTCCTGCAGCTTAGGAAAAGATTTTACTCTATGTGCTCCCCTCATTCCTTGAGACGTTTTTGCCCTGTGTTTTGTTGTCATTGGAGCCTTTGCTGTGGATGATGCCCCATTGACCCTCCCTGTTTTTGAACTGCAGATGGTGCTGAAATCCTGCGTTGCACGGTGAAGGCCCTGAAGGAGGGCCATGTTGTTGCTGTGCCCACAGACACAATCTATGGCCTGGCATGTCTGGCCCAAAACTCTGAAGCCATCAGAAAAACCTACAACATCAAAGGTCGAAATGGACACAAACCACTGGCCATCTGTGTAGGAGAAGTCCAGGATATCTATAAGTAAGTTTCTGCTGTTTTACCATTAGAATGAGAGGAAGACTGATTTGGGCCCATTTTGTTGTTTGGCGGAGCGCGAACAGTGGTATTTCTAAGAGTTACAGTTTTAATGCAGACTTCTTTGCAATTTAAAACATCAGTGGCAACTTGTAACTGTAACTTGTGTTAGTGTCAGTCCCTCAGAAGTGTGATGATTTCTTTCTAGACCTACTATTTTGCACACACAATATTTTACTCATACACAGCGGAGTCACACGTAGCAGAGGCAGAGATAACATCTCCACACCAACAAGGCACGGTTTACATTTCAAGCAACAAGCACACCTGCTATAACAGAAATACCCCTTTATTCATAACTTAATTTGCTTGATAGATACATCACTAAATCAGAAGACACATGGCAGACTGATGGAAAAAACTGAGCATCATCACTCTGGACTGAATTTGGGTTGCAACTAACAATTAGTTTCATTATTGATGAATGTGATTAAGATTGTTTTTCAGTTAATTTCTTGGTTTATAAGTGGTTGTTTCAGTCCAAAACCCAAGGATTTCCAGTTAATCACATAACAAAAAGAAAAGCAGCAAATCGTCATAAATGAGAAGCTGGAGCAGGGAGCATGTTTGATATTTTTGCTAGAAATATAAAATGATTATTGGTTATCAGAACAGTTTGCTTTTCTTTTCATTGACAAACCCACACACTGATTAATCATTTAACAATTTCAGCTCAAGGCTAAATATAGAACATCTTTAGACTGACAATGCTTTGAACAGTGTAATACCATCTGAAATTGAATTTCACAGCTCACAATTTACAGCATCACTGGCTTTAAAAGTACAGCTCAACTTGAACTTGGCTTGTTTTTGTTCACATGGTCAGGTACTGCAAGGTGAAGGTGAAGAAAGAGCTGTTAGGTGACCTGCTGCCTGGTCCCGTCACCCTGGTGTTTGAAAGGTCTGAAACACTGAACACAGATCTCAACCCCTTTACCTCAGTAAGTTCACTCCTTTTAGGAGACATTACTGAAAATAAAACACCAAATGATTCCAAGTGATTTGTTAATAAATGTCAATCATCTGTTGTTTTCATGTCCTTGTGTCCCTCAGCTTGTAGGTGTACGTATCCCAGACCATGCCTTCATGAGGCGCCTTTGCCAGATGTGTGGGGAGCCACTGGCGCTTACCAGCGCCAACATCAGCTCATACACCAGCACTGTGAAAGTACATGTAAGTGGAAAAATGTTTCCCAACATCTTAATTAATGTAAGAATGATGTTTCTCTTTGTTTTCTTGCTTCTTTATCTTTAATGCTGCTGTTTGTTTTGTTTGTTTTTTTTATTCTGAAGGAGTTCCAAGAACTCTGGCCTAACCTAGCAGTAGTGGTGGATGGCGGACCAATAGGAGACCAGAGCCGTGCAGGATCAACGGTGGTCGACTTATCCCAATTTGGTAAATACAACATCATCAGGCCAGGCTGGTAAGTTCATGCTGTTACTGGGACCAGTTGGCTTTCATCTCCTGCAGTTACAAATCTCTAAATTATTTAAATGATAATTTTGTGATAAAACTATTTAAATTGAGGTAAATTGACTGGCTGGCATGTAATGTGACCTGTTCCTGTTTACTTAACAACTCTGGAAGAAAATATATGCACCAAAATCGAGCACAGGCTAATTTCTTAGAAAGCTCCACCTGCATTGTGCACCTGCCAGTGTTTTGGTTTACTGCTGTGCTTTCTACTGAGGCAACAGTGTCATGACAACATACTCCACCACTGGGAGGATGAGCCAGCTGCAGCACCTGCTATGATTATGAGTCTCCTGGAAGCTAGTAAACAAAATGTGAGCAAGCCTGTGCAGATAGAATATTTAAATACTGACCACAGAAAGTAATCAGGGGTGTTTTGCATTAATTAGTGAACTAAAACACTGCTGCAGTCTACTACACACAGACGTATTTGCGATGCTCTTCCACAATCTTACCACACTGTCACCACAAAGAGGGACAATGGTGATAAAATGCCATATGGAGTCAAGTTGACTGTATTGTGTTTAAATTCTACTTTGTGACTGAACTTCACCTCCCGCCAACCTTCCCACACTTAACCTGAAGGAGACTTGGTACATTAATTGAGAAATGACTGTAATTCTGTTTTCAGTGCCCTCTCTTCTACGGTTGATGTGCTGGAGCGCAAATATGGACTGTCAGAGGACTCGGGAAAATGACCTTTGAACTCTCCACACTCCGCAACACACGCTGAGACGCACAAATAGCTTTGACCTTGGGGCTTGGTCAGAAAAGATGAATCCTTTTGATGTTCACACAGAAGAATTTAGTGTTTCTCAGGAAAGACTAAACATCAGGAACAACTCAGGTCTTAAACCACTGGTATTGTTCTGGCTGCTGCTTTAAGGTCTGATGTTACTTTTTTCTTTTGATGAACATATTTTCTGCCTTACTTTTTTGTCTACTATCCTGGGATTATGTGGGATTTTAAACTGAGTGTCATAATTGTCTAACATTTGTCTAACAACACAGTATAGTTTTTTTTTTTTTTTTTTGCAATTATGAACAAAAAACTTTTTTGAATTTTCAAAGCAGTGTGGTTTAACTAAGAATACAGTGGTTTCAGTTAATGTTTTGACATACTATTTTGATAAGGGTTATGCGTCATAGGCCCCCCATATAAGACCTGAATCAATCTTTCTGATAACATAAAAGGATAGGAGTTCTGTGGGAATTGCATTGACTATGCATGAAATTTTTATGAGTTCAGAACAGTTTTTATTAAATTATGAATCCCCTGTATTTATTTTGTCAGTTTGAACTGTGTGAGGCTTGTACTACAGTTGGTCCCCAGCTTCAGTTACAATAACTCTGTTTTATATTGTAGCTTAAACTACATGTACAAGTTAGAAGATACTGTAATACTTAAGAGTCATGTTCACTCACACACAGACCAAGTGGATGCATACTATGAAATACTGATCTGATGTAAACTTGTTTTGATGGAATGTATAAGCTTGGCACAGCCACAATAAAAGGTGTTTTTTTTTTTTCAGTATCGCTCTTCATTATGAATATGAGGCCATTTGACACATGCTTTCGGTATTTTTAGGTGTCTGGATTACTCATTAATTATTAATTGCATGTGAAATCAAGACTCAGATTGTGTTTAAAAAAAAAAAATCAACCAAAGACAAATTATTCTCAAAGATGCCTGTCTGAAAGTACGTTTTACTTTTAATAGACAGCAGGATTTCATCAACTCTAAATCACACACACATCCATACAACAGAGTGCCCCAGTAAGTGATAGGTTTTTATCCAAAACATTGAGCCCAAGCCTCAAAACTTTCAACTTCTGATTCTATTGATTTAACTTAAGTGAAAGAAGGTAATGTGTGCCCACAATGAACATGGCTTTTTTCCATACAGGTAATTACACCAAAATTCTGATTAATTCAAGTAGGTCTGAATATAATATATATATATATAAGTTTAAGGCAAAGTTTAGTGTAACTGCCCTCCAATGGCCTGACTGACTTACTCTAATACTGAACACCTTTGTTGGTTAGCATAGTGAAGAGTAGCAGTGGTAATCTTCATGCTACAAATATTTAAAGGACATTTAATTTTACTCACCAGCTAATATACATTTCTTGGAGTTTCTTCAAGATGGTTTTCAGTGGTGCAGCCTTTTTGACAGAATTACAACAATCTGAAATTATATGAAACCTTATTAAATATTGTACAATATATATAAAACAAATGAGACAGAGAACTGAAAACTGAAATAAAACTTTTAAAGGAATAGGTCAACATATTGGGAAATAAATGTATTTGCTTTTGTGCTGATAGATAAGTTGATTTAAGTAACCATAAGTTTTGTCAGGTAACTAGCAGAGACTCCATAAAGTCACTGCACCTGGCCAAGAAATAGTCCAGCACATAACACCTTGTAAAACTGCAATTTGTCCTTTTTAGATTTATGTTTTTGTATTGATTTAACAAACAAGTTATAATGTTTAAAGGGTGGATGTTGTTACCATTAAACAAAACCAGGCTAGTTGTTGGCTTTGTGCTAAACTAAGCCAAGTGGCTGCTGCCTGTAGCTTCATATTTAAACAATCTTCTCATCAATATTTCCCAAAATGCTGAACTATTCCTTTAATTTTATAGGACTCATGTTGAAGATTTTTGTATGACATCTGCAATAAAACCACTCTTCACTTGCATGCTTAACCCTCATGTACTGCTTTTAAAAACACTATGTCATCACCATATTAATGAGCTCTCTGAACCTGAGCAAAGGGAAGATCAACATTTGTGTCTCATTCTGTTTTATGAAAAACCATAAAAGTGCCACTATTGCTATTGTAATGAGTTATATATGAGGACTTCACATGGTGACACGTAGTATTTATGAATATGTCAGGCAGTAGTTTTTCTGATAGTGGGAGTGTTTGAGCTAATTGTGAAATAAGTCGCAGTCAGTGATGAGTGACAGGCCTACAGAGCATTTTAGAGGTCTGGGCTGTCAATAAAAGTTGGAGAAAATTCCCCAGACTGACTCTTTATTGCGGCTTTACCTGAAAGTTCAACTAAGAATGTCCTGTTCAGATTAGCATGTGAGCACAAATTTGCACACACACACTTGCAGCAACTCCCACATCCAGTATAGTTAAAAGGTAAAAGAAAGTCCTTATGCGCTCACATCTATACTGATCAGTCTCTACATTCACTCCCCATTCTGTTGTTCTTTCATGTGTACACAAACATCAACTAGAGCATCCTGTTTCAAGTTCATTTGAGCAAAGCTCACATGAGCCATTGCTCTTTCTCTTTGTTGAATTCTTCTGCCCAGCGGCGGGTCAGCTCCAAGTAGTGATCGGGTCCATGTGGTTGATAGTCCAAGTATACACGTGTCACAGTTTTTTTAGGCACCGCCCTCTCTATCTGCGTCCCCTCGTGCCATTCATTAAAGGACGTGATAGTGACCATCTCTGGCCTCACATTGAGTGCTGCCTGCAGGGCCGTCTCGTAGTAACGGCCGTTCACTCGGTTGCGCGTGTTGTGGTTGTTCCACGGCCGAATGCTGGTGTCAATGTAACCAGGTCCCACGCTGGGGATGAAGAGGAGATTGTTGCCGTCACAAAACGCTTTGATGGCCTTCCAATTCTGGTGAGAAGAGCCGAAGGAGAAGCCATTGGAGGCAAAATAAGTGTACATGCCATCAAAGCCACCTGCAAGGATGTCGTGCTTGTGGCGCTCCTCCACGATCAGGGCAATGAAGATGGAGTCATAAGCTGAGCCACGCACGCTGTGGGAGCCGGTGGGAGTCAAAAATTCAGACCAGGACTCTGGGGGAGTTAGGTAGGAGTCGTAGATGTAAAACAGAGGGAGACTCTTCCCTGTGCTTGAGGTGAATTTGTAGAAGGCTCCATGGTCACCGTACCTTTAAAGACAATGATACAGTTAGTTAGTGCTGAAACAAGTCAAGAGGCTGCACTGTTCTTTACAGGAAACTGATCATTTTGCAGGCCTTAATTGAAAAGTTAGTTTCTGAGTTTGGTGGAGTTTGAGTCATTAAAATCAATTGAACATGGAAAGGGTTTATCCTCTGGGAAGCACGAATCTTGGCACTTAGACCCCTGAAGAGGCAATTGGCCAGCATGGGTCAGTCATTACAAACACATGCCCTGCAGTCAAATATTGTTCACACCCACAGAACTTTATTTTAAATTCTGGTGGAGAGCCAAAAGTTTATGAAGATGCCAAATTTGCTTGGGAAAATTTCAAGGAAATGTGTATAAAATAATTCGAGAAATGTAGAATATTAACGTTCAATCAAATGGCACAGTTTCACTTAATATTTACCTTTACAATAAAGAATATATTTAATGTGATGCTGTCAAGACATTGTGTAGTAAGATGAGTGTAAAAACCTTAAATAATACAAAAGTGGAAACTGTACATTAAAGCGGTTTGGAAGGATGTTTACAGGGTCACCAAAAACTTAAGATTAAGATTTATCCTACCATGTTCCATGACTGTCCACAGCAAATATAACATTTCAGGATACCCTGTCATGAACAAACGTGGTCATGGGAAAATTATGACCAAATGATGTGTCCTAGTAAAAAGGTATAGAGGGGAATAGTATATAATTGGCATTGAACAGTACATAATTATATAATCTTGCTCTGGAAGTGTCTGGCAGACCAGTCATCCCACCATGCTATTACCATCACTATCGAGACAAAATATTAAGATTTGCTTGTTGTTTCTTGTTTAAATCTTTTGGGGGAATTATCTTTGAGGGGTGGACTTTTGAGTTTGTATGTACTTGACAGGTGCTCCTTTTCAGAGCAACCCCACTACTAACGGTTGAGGAAAAAGCATTTGCTTCAAAAACTCATTCATAAGTCATGAAACTGGCCTTATATAATCAGAAATTCTTACTTAAAGTATTTCAGGTTTGTGACTACTGTTCTTTCAGTTATGCATGAAATCTTAATGGCCTTCTATTTGAGTTGACACAGTGATGGAGAGGTGCAGACCAGTGCCTACCTGTCAATGATATACTTGATGTTGTCATGCACGCTCTGGTCATTGCGTCCTCTGTATGGTTGGATGTGAAATGCAACCTGGGAAAAACATGCAAAAAGACACATGACTTGTTGGCTTCCATTCATCCTATTACCTGTTAATAAAAAAAAAAAAAAAAAGATGCCACAGTCAGCACTTACAGATGACCTTAACAAGTATTGACCATGAATCAACAGTCAGCTTCTCAGGGAAAAATAAAATGAATATTATAGTCAAAGGTTGTTATAGATGATCAGACCGTTAATTCCCTCACAAAAAAATAGAAGTAGTTCTACCATTTCAATTCTGCAAAACAAAAGAAGTTAATCATGCACCATTTTGACATGGTGTGGCCCGAAAGCATAGCATGGCATCTGCTTTCTCTAACCTACTGCTATGTTATGGACTATATTCCTTTACAGTCTTCTAAAAACCTATAAATAAAAGAGGGCAACACTGACTTAGTTCAACCACACTATCTTACCCAGATCCTTTTGGATAGGATGCGGGTGTAAAGAACCATGTTTTCACTCTGTTTTAGTTTCCTGACAAATTCTGTCACACTGTAGAAGAGTTTTTTCACCCAGAGTGGTACCTCTCAGGAGACTGTTGTAGCACTCAGATAATGGCTCTAAAATGGGTATTTGCAAATGATGAACAAAAGCAGCAGAGGAACAAGGGACCTAAAGTGACATGTACACAAAAAGTTAAAGGCACGGCCAGAGAATTCACTGACTTTGAATAATGCATGATCAAAGAGAAACACTTTTCTTCTCCAGCAGTGGACAACCATGGGGAACAATGTGAGGGAAAATGGCTTTTTAAGATGATGGAGGCCAACAGCAACTAAATGAATGCAAGATGTCATCAGCTGAACTGACACATGGTTGACTGAGCCTACAGTGTATAACTCATGACTTATTCCAGATATAAACCTAGTGTTAAGCCTGCATCTAGTCCAGTATTTTTACTTAAAATAAACAACCATTATCTAGCAAAAGATCTTAATGAAAAAGCTGCTTTTGTTCACAGCATTTAATCTTTGTTAGCTGTTGTAATCACATACCAATCATCAGTTAAAATGGTTTAGTGACTGGAAGCTGTGGAAAAAGGTCTGTTGGCAACACAGTATCTTACTACGACATTGGCCATAAGTGTACCGATGCATTAAGTGATGTTTGGAATAGACTGTAGCCTTGCAAATTGTTTTAAATTGTCTATAGATAAACTGTCAGCTGGAAGCAAGAAAACAGAATCACTTACGCCAGTAACGAAGATGCTAAGTGCTTTTATGAGCAAGAAAATGTACCTTTTGATGGTGTCAGATGCATTTTGCTTCCAAAATATCAATTTTAATAAAAGATAGAGGAAGAAAGATCCTGGCGGTCTGAAATCAATGTTTATGAAGCCATAACTCTCTGGACTTCTTGCCCAGTAAAGTGAGATCAAACATGAACCTATTTTGAAAAGCTGTGGGGTATTAGATGATATGAAGCCACGTAATAATCATCGACAGATGATGGGGGAGGGGGGGCTGTGATGCTCTCCTGTTCACTGCAGCAGAGTGCAGGCTACTAGAAAACTCTGCTCATTTTTGTAAACACACTGGCCCATTACTCTGTGGTAATTTAGAAGTAAATGAGACAGGAGTCAACGCATTTTAATACCTCATAAACACTGACAGCATGAGCCTGGAACGACCCCAGCATGATTTATGCTGAGCAGATTGGAATTTAGTGCCATGTCATGCAGAAAGCTCTAAAGAAGGGATGTGAGCCGTCACAAAGATAGAGGTCCAGACCTTAATAACAATTAGATTAATTTCAACAAAACTGAGGAATTCTTTATTCGAGATTGTCAGTTTCACTCTGTGGTCAAAGCCATTGGACGCACATCCCAATGTAAGGTCACAAAAGACTGAATGTAGCTACTCGGTGCATCTGGAAACAAGAAAGTGTGGCTGATGCCATCATTGGGCACCCATGGGCCATATTCCCCTGTGTATATGCAACTACATGGCCTACTTACTAGATTCAACTTTTACAGCCCCTCAGGGTGCAGATTGTTCAGAGGCAAACTGAGTCATGGGACCCATGATGCACACTTCCCCTCTGCTCCTTCCCTCCTGCACCCAGCTTCCGACCCCCAACCCTCCACCCTGTCCCCACCAAACCGCCCCCACCCTCCCCTGGGCAGAAGGACTATTTCAGCTCCTCTTCAAGCTGAGGTCGAGCAGCAGCAGCACTGCTGTGGAGGCTCCATGTGATCTGCTCTCCAACCCAACAGCCATACACAATACACGATGCACGAGCTGTGTGTGGGTGCTGCTGAAATGCTGCTCAACTTATATAATAAGAAAAAGTACATCGCTTTCTTTTGTGGTGTTACACAAAGAGGGATCAGTGCGTTTTTAGCAGTGTGTTGTGGGATAGCCAGGATTTGTTTTTAGCTCTGTTCTAGTTTCCATTCACCTGCATCTGTACTAGGCACAAAAGCATGTCACTTAGGTTTCAGTAAACTGTAGGAGCGCTGTATCAAAATCTAGATTTTCTTTGTTCTAATTTTGTTTCCCTGTGTTACTTGTTCTGTTACAAGCTCTAAAATATTTTTAATGACTCATCTTAAACTCAGGTACATATACATAACTGTCCTTATCCAATCTGATGTGCTAATCCTACCCACAACATATAAAACTTAAATGTTAACTTGTAGGTCATAATGGCTTGCAGAGAAATAGTGGAAGGATCTTGATCTTGGAGCACAAGTGAATTTGATTTAAATCTCTCTCATAACTAAACACAGACCACATGTTTCATAACCCAATATATATATGTATTTCTCAAACTGAAAATCTCATGTTTAGACTGTAAAACACAAAAATTCAATACATTTCCACTTAGATTTCTAACAGGCATTTTTCATTCAAAACCATTTATCCATAATAAAAAACAAACTTGCAGCTCTGAGTCATATTGTGTTCAGAGTCTGATTTTCCTCAGTACATCTGGGGTCACCAGACACCCATCAGCAAATGTATGTCCAGGGGCCTCTAATAGCTTAATCTGGCCATAAATCATGGAAAGGTTAATGCCATATTCATGCCTCATGAAGCTACATAAAACCATGGTAAAGGCTAATTCACATGCTGCCTTTGATTGCTCTGTCAACCAGAGCGCTCGGCTCCTTGTTGAGACAAATCACCACAGGACAAGAAAGGGTGGAGATAACAGATGGAGACCAAAGCACACACAGAAAGGTATCCTCTCCCTCTTTCACAGAATAAAAGTTGTGTGTGTTTTAGACAAGCAGAGTTCTCCTGAGACTTCAATTTCCCTGGGTTTTCTTTCTTTGTCTTATCTATGTATAATTTGTGCACTAGACTTTCCACACGCCTGATGTTTCAAAGCAAAACTGCTCGTATATTTTCTTAAGCACCTCTCAGATTAGCTGGTAGCCACTTTGCTACCACAAACAGATATGTGTGTTTCCTGAATTCAGATCTGATACATTTTTGGCTGCTGGCACTGCTCCTGTGGGACCATCTGTCGCTGTCCTTCTCCACTTGGGCTTCCCTCCCTCCTTTTAGCCTGCCTTTCAGTCGAAAAGAGCAAAGACATTATCTAATGTTGTTGCTTAAAAAAAAAAATAAATCAGCATTAGTAGTTCCAAATGATCAGAGCCAAAGTTCTTTACCTTGTCAGCGTTTTTCTGAAATTATGCAAGAAGAAGCACTTCAAAGATAAATGTCCTTCTGTGCAGAGGGAGTGGGAGGAGTTCATCAAAAACAAGGAGAACTGGAAGAGGATGCTTGGAAACCCTGCACTCAACATGCTGCTGTGCATGCAATTTTATTCTAAAGCTTTCTCTGCTCTCTGAGTATGATCTTTTAAATGCTTTTATAAAACACAAAGATGAGCAGTTCCTTATTTCAATGATATACTAAAAATGTTCAGTGGATTTATACAAAGCATGTCACAGTCTGTTTTTACACACACGCTTCCTCCACGCTTTTTATGAAAATGTCATGCTAGCTGGGTCACTGATGACAATAAAGCACGGCATTAAATTCAGTCTATTAGCTTCTATCCTGACAGCATTATGTGTAAAACCTCATCAGCTCAGCGTTGCATATCTAATCCCATCGTTCTTGTCGTGCCCTCGCGGAGATACATTATATCTTTCCCTGCAGCCAAACGGCAGAATAAACAAATGTGATATCAAATCTGACAGGCATGCCTAACAAACCTACTGCCTCTCATCAGACTTGTTTATAGAGAGGACGAGGTCAATATGTGTCACATTGCTGCTGGAAAGTAAATTATCTTTATCTTCACATCAGGATACAAACTCTGGAATGATAACGAGCTGTGTAATAATGAAGACCCTTTCTGTTACTTTATATGCAATTAACCTTGATGATAACTTTAGCAACATGTAAATACAGCTTGTTTCTGTGTAGGTTTTGAGTTATTTTAATCATATACAATACTTCAATGCGCTTCTATAAATACAATTACATTTGTAACCTGCTGATGTTAGCACATATGAAGCTTATTCTGTACTGATCTTTTTCACAATTTGACAAACTTTGTATCATGTCTCAAATATGTTACGTTAAGTAAATAAGGACTCGAAAAGCAAAATAATTCTCAATGCTATGGCCTCAGTTTACTATTTTATTCTGATGAACATCATTAGGGCTGCAACTATATTATTTTCATTATCACCCATTGCAATTTCCCAAGTGATCTCTTAAAACATTTTGTGTTGTTCCATCAACAGTCCAAAACCCCAAAATATTCAATTTACAATAATATATGACAAAGAAAAACAGTAATTCCTTATATCTAAGAGGCCGGAACAAGAGCATATTTGGCATTTTTCCATTGACACAATCGATAATGAAGTTGCAGATTATTCTTTGCTCAATTCCCCAGCTTTTCGTTTCAGCTCCAAAAATTATAATAACTCTAACAAAACCTTACAGTAATGCTGATGCTTTGTACTTTGTTTTTCCTTTTCAGCATGGACCAGTAAAGGTTTTATCTTGTTCCTGCCCCCCCTAGCATGTCATCTGTCTGATTTTTCTTTACTTAAATATGTAGTGTGTTGTGCAAATGCCGTTGATGCATTATTAATGGTACCTGCTTTGACATAAGAAAACTCTTACAAGCCAGTCTCTCTTATATGACATTTCTAATTCAGTCATACGGAAAGAATGCCCCCCGAGTAGCTTTTGATCAGCACATGAAAACATGATGTATCTCTCTTCAACTCTCAGTTCAGAGAAATTTTAAAGGGGAAGTCTTAACAAAAGAACTTCAAACTCTGACCACTGTGTGTCTATCAAAAACAGCTATGTCATCAAAGACAGAGTCATAATCTTACTTTGTCTCTCTATCTGAGCATCTGATACGAATTGTATCGTATTACAAGAAAGGGTTCCCCGTAAAAGTTTAATAAGCCCACAATATAGTGACAGGAGACAGAGGGGCCAACATGGCGGCAGTTATTTTCTCCATCGCACCATTTTCCGACCTAATTGGCAAATGGTCATGTGGTTTTGCTACTCCCCCACCTCTCCACCCTGCTGATGTGCTCCCAAGCTCATTGAGTCCTCACTGAACAACTGCTCCAGCAGCAGAAGCAGCTCTTTGACCTGTTTTTCACTCTAATGCTGGGGATGTCACTGCAGCGTCAGAGTCAAATGCCTGAGTAGCAGAGACAGCCTTACAGGAGAAACGGCAAAACAAGTTGAGCTTTGGCAGCTCTCAATCTTACTCTCCAGTGGCAAAAGGAAACTGCAGCTTCACAGTATAACTCATCACAGCACAATAGCTGGTTTGAGATTACTATCCTGAGCGGTGTTAAACTCGCTGCTCACCTCTGTGAAGCATCAGTAATCCATAGCATTGTGTCACTGTGCTACTCGTAAGGCGAATGGATGGAAAGATAATGGACAGACAATCATATTTACTCATTGAACCTCTAGCAACCATTTAGAAATAAAGTAATGGGCATATCTCCATGAAATGACATTTGACTTCTACAAGCTGGAAGTTTTACACATTAGGCTACTTAAATACAATATAGTGCATTGGCTGTGTCAGTTGTAGCCTTTCTGTAGTTTAGTCTAGTTTGTAGTGTGTGAAAGGCATACTTTAAGTTGGTTAACTGTACATAACCTGTTACCAGACATCCCCCACTTTTTCACACAAGCCTGAAAATAATGGTTACTATTCTTCAACCCTTTTGATTACAGTCATTAGCCTGGACTCAATCTAAAACAAAACTACTACTAAGTCCTCCATGACAACACATTTATTGTCTGGAACCTTTTATGCTGTTGTCTTGTCCAGGTCTTGCTTGCAAAAAGGGCTGGTTCACTGGAATCTACCAAATGAAATCAAAAGAAATAGAGGGGAATGTGCTTTAAATGCCTACTGCAAAGCCTATATCACCTGGTGGAAATCCAACAGCTCCGTCAAAAGTTGTTGATTTAAAATGGACAAATCAACAATCATTTTCCTGGGACTACTTGGTGTATGCTGTGAAAACTGAGCTGAATATCATGCCTCAGAATAGATTTGATTCATTGCTCTGTTTTGGAGCCATGGACTCTTTCCTGGCTTTGTGTCAGGTCTTTTAAACACACACACACACACACACACACACACACACACACACACACACACACACACACACACACACACACACAAAATGTGCTGATGCCTTTTTACCTTCAGGTTGTGTCTATATGCAGCATCCAGTACAGCTGGTACCAAATCCTCAGCGGGTTCCCCGTTGTCATCAGCCAGGCCAGGAGGATACCAGGACAGGACCAGAACCCCTGGAGACACACAGAAACACACAAGTCTGATCATGTATTCAGGACTAAAGGCATTGGCTAATACCTCAGAGAGCGCCATTATCTGCTGTGAACCTATGTCCAAAATGCATATGAACCTCTAAAAATGTTAACTTATGCATTGTTGGAATGGTGTATGGATTTCATGTTGATTGCAAGAAATGCTGACAATCCTGTGGGGAGAAAGGGTGGTGAAAAACATTTGCTTTTATTAATCTACAGTGACATTTTCATGCAGCCCTTCACACAGTTTTACAGACCCATTTGAGACCACTGAATGAAATTTCTACCCTGATAATTCATTAGGGTAATTACTGTTCTTATTTTACAGGACTCTGACAGATGCTGGTAAGGTTTGTGGAAAGATGCTGGATGGATGATGAGACAATATGCCCTTGTGCAAAGATATGCAAAAGGCCCCTGACCCCTACTACATAGGAAAAACAACTATTAATGGCTATAAACTACGTTATGCATCTCTTTGTGGACATCTTCAGTCTCTTTGTAGTCGTTTTTTGCTTCTGTTCAGGGTCATTATGCATCACTTTGTGGTTGTTTTGCGTCTCTTTGTAGTCATTTTTGTCTTTTTGTATTTTGGTTAAGTAATTCATCCGTGGCTGTCTAGAGGAGAATTGATAGTTTTTATCTGAATGCCTATCTGCCCATCGTCCATATCCTGCACCCGATTGATGAATAAGCATCTGTCATTTTGAGACTATTTATTATGTCTTGTTTTAGTGGCAATCTCTCTGCATAGGTAGAGTTTGTGACAGCTCATAAATTGCAGTAGAGAAATGCTTGTTCATGCTCTGATGCAGGCTGAGAAATGGTGTCATATTGGCCACAGTGGTTGCACCAGAGAGGATCCGGCACATTGGATGTGCACTCAGAGCTAATTCATTAAACTCAAGTCTGCTTGCTGCGGAGCTGTGGGAACTATTAGATTTCAATACTCAACTATGTCTTGTGTGTATAAAGAATATGGCCACTGCTATTTGTTTATTTACGGGCCTCTGAAGTTTTAGGGGATCAGTCATCAAGCCAAAAGAACAATTTAGACTTGGGCTGGCTGTGCTGCCTAATTAAATGGAGTGTTTTAACGAAGCATTGTGAGTCTGTCCACCCGTGATCCATCTGTCAGTGCAGTGAGGTTTCAGAGGGTTGGATGGTCCGGTCATCATTCCGGATGGTGTACAATAACCTACTGAGCCGCAGAACAGAAACATCAGGGCCTATCATGTGTTGGCTGCTGATGGCTGGACACACGAGGCTGTTACTTGACACCAGACTGCTGTCTTTTACGAAAGTCATACAAGTTTTTGAAAAGACTAACAACATACTGTACCTATTAATATTTCATGAGACATCCAAAAAACAGATCTAAGCCTGGAATGGAGATGATTAGGGCTGAGTGATAATTTAACACCTTACACTGCTTCTTTTCCCTTTCTTGTAACTAAAGCACACACTCCAACTTAACCTTAAGACATGGCCTTTATATTAAGATGAATTCATTCCCCTTGGAGATTTTAAAGCTCTAGTATTATTATTACTATTATTATTAAGTCTGTTTGTCAAACGTCTTGTTGTTTATCTGAATACTACAAAAATATTACCATTTACTGACTCTCAGTCGAAACATATCATACCCTAATGATCTGACCATATTGTGTTATTGTTTTGCCTACAGTATTTCTGGTGAATTAAGTAATGATTCCAAAACAGTTATTAAAGTTTTTAACATTTGTTAAGAGTTATTAAGATCAGGTTTAAAATAAATATACCCTGATATTGATTTCAACTATATTACTCAGCTCTAGGGGACATGCTGTGTGGAAAAATACACTAAGTGAAACACACTCTAAAGTTGCCTGTCTAAGTTTTGAAATTGTGATAATTTTGACCTAAAAGTTAATCTCTAGTTAACTGAGGCTTCCAAAGTTGTGAAGTTTCTTCTGTGCTGCAGGCGGAAAGCGCAGCAGCAGATATTTGGGGACTTTCAGTTGAGCAAGTGGGGAGCTGTCCAGTGGATGTGTGGTGCTGAAAATGTTTACTGCCCCTCAAGCGAAAAGGAGGCGGTTTTGCGCTTATAGAAGCCAGATTTCTGTGCAGCTGCTGAGCAGGAAAAAAAAACACAACACTCAGCTCTTCTCTCTCCAAGAAAATTTTGATTGCCCTATGCATCTCTGAACTGTACCTGCTGCAGATGCTCCGATCTGCTCCATGTGGGACTCCAACACGTCCGGGTCTCTGGAGCTGTACGGATTGAGTTCGGGGTAGAAACTGGAGCCGATGTCCTCAGGCGGCATGTGTCTCCCTCTCGGGTAGCTGGACGCAATTTTGGGGTCCCAGTGTGGCACCAGGATGTGGTCCCAGTGAATGTACTTGCCGTCCATATGTGGGGTGCCATACCAGGTGTAGTAAAAGATATGAACATCATAAAAGATGGTGCCCTCAGGGCCGGAGTTGGACAAAACTACTTTGGTGTTGCTGCCAGCTGGGCGGGCTTGACCTGGGGACGCGGTGGCATCATGGGACACGGAGCGCCGGTCCATCTTCCCTGCTATCATCGGCAGGAGCACTAAACCCGGAGCCAGGTCCGAGAAACCGTCACTGGGCTTCAGGGTCCTCAGTCCCATCATGGTTCCAAAGATGAACAACGTAAAAAGAAACAGAGCTATGCACGCTTTCCTTCGTAGCCGGGCCATGTTAGGCTGGAGCGGCAGAAGCTGCAAACTGCGTGAACGGGACGAGAAGCGCAAATAAACCTCTGTGTGTCCGTTACTGTTTTCCCCGCACCGAGAGTTCACCTCACAATCTGCGAGCTGCTCTTCACAGACGCTACATGATTCCAGTCCAGTCGCAGCAAACTACTTGAAGCAGTTCGCTGTGGGATTTACAACTTTATTCTGCAGCTTCATGTTTTGCATTCTGCTGAGCTGTGAGGTCTGTCTGTTCACGCCTGCTCCTGCTCCTGGAAGAACTGCTGGAAATTTCGTTCTCAACGCTGTAGCCTACCAGTAGTCTAACGACTAATCCCGGTGATGTTGACGCTTTACACGGTTCTCCACACTGTAAACTCTCTGAACTGTCTTAACGCTTCCAAGCTGTCTGACCCTGTCCCGCCCAGGAGAAGATCCATCCCCCTTACACTGAGCAGATGACCGGCGTCGAGATGCAGTGTGATGCTCTCCGGTAATGTCAGAGGGATTTTCCAGCCTCCGTGGTTGGTTGGTTGGTTGGTTGGTTGGTTGGTTGGTTGCTCCTTTACACAGCGCATTTTGGATCTCAAAGAGGCGGGACTCCTCTGATCTCTGCTTTCCCTGTGGATGCAGATACTTGCGCAGACAAAAATATAACGTTTAAGGAAAGGAAAAAAAAAAAAAATCAGAAATGCTGCAGATCAGCAAGAATAATTGATCAAGATTCCAGGCTTTAGGCCTATAATCTTGTCATTATGTCATTAGCGACATCACCGTGACTAATCACAGAGCCCGAGTCTGATCTCTTCGCTGGAGGCACAGAATAAAAGTGTCAGAATATTTTGTAAAGTTTAAACTCCGGTGTTTGATCGCCTGACTCTCACGTTTGCCCTATGCTGTGAGTTCATAGACATACTGACATCTAGTGGTCATTTTATAGAACATACGGCAACTTTACCATGCTGCTTTCAGGTGCTACGGGAAATGATGGCACCCTAGATGTCTAGATGTTGTAACATGCAGTTTAATGGACGGAGAGAGCGGGGAACTTGTGGAAAAATTATTTATTATTAATAAGCCTATTATCATTTTCCCGTGCTGGAAACCAGCCAATTGCGAATTTCTCCCTACGACTTTTTAATTATATTCATAAGGAGCACGTTATAATTTAAGCCTATTCAATATTTCCACCTTTGAATAAAATAAGAGGTTTATTGGAGAACATGTGATCAGAACCACATCTTAGGCTATTGTTTGTTTCCACTCTCATAAAATAAGAAAAAAACGTTAAAAACAGTTGTTAGACTAAATTGTGAATGTAATAGAGCGTTCAGTGAAGACAGCCATCTTTGCAGTCCATTAGCTTATTGCACCTTGTCCAGCTGAGTGAGATCCAAACGCCTTGGCTTCCGGCCAAGATAATATGGCAGCACTTGGGAGATACTGACCCCTCCACTGGAGATGATCTGACTTGCTGACACTTCATTAGATTGTTTTCCTTGTCTACGAAGCAGTTTAGTCTGAGCACTGACCGATGGGCAGATACCTCCATGCAACCTGGGGTTGAACTTATTTGTTGTCTAATCCAAAATAACTGACTTTTTCAGACATTTGTCCAACAACCTGTAGCCTGTCATTACAGTAAAACTGACTGCGTCAGTGTGCTGTCAGCCGAAGGAAAGTGGGTACATGAAGCAGGCCATATTAGCAACCGATTTTTTTTTAAATAAGATTGTGAAAAGCTTTAGAAGTTGCCAAAGTTATACAGTGAAATTCTGACAATATTAAAGTGAAAAGAGTGGGAGAAGCTAAAATGTCTGTCCATGAAAAAACATTTTGCGCCATTGTAAAGTAGATGCTGTGTTTGAGGATCAAGGTCATTCATTGTAACTTCTTTCTTTCTTCCATCAGATTTATTCGTTAAAATTATTAATGTATGTCAGGTTTTTCCGAAGGATTTTTTAAACGTCTTGGAGTAGGTTATAGATAGTAAATTATAGTATTATATAGTATTATTAGTATTATTGCAGTCCATGTAAATAATTTTAATACCACAGGGAAAGGGGTTGTCTTGCCATCTCCCATCTCAGTGTCTCATAATAAAATATCGTTTTCCAGTCGAATTTAAATAATATTTATTAGCTATTATGAAGTCAAAATTATCCATAAACCAAACAAGGAAAAACCAAGGAAGTGAATACGTGCTTAAATCAGTTCAAATGTTGCGTTACGGGTGTATTCAGCTTTACAGAAAAAACGTTTCTCATACACTTATTTTAATTTCCCCTGTGTCTTATCTTGCATATCTGCCATTTCAGATGGTCGTAGATTATATTACAATCCTTCCCCGGCCAAGAAGCCTGTTTATAAGAAAACTGATTACAAGTTTTTTTATGTAATGAAATCACTGGTACGGGGCATATCCTTCTCTGATCTGTGTTGTTCTTATTTATATAATCGGGTATATTTAACTGCAAGTCAGTTATGTAACGTTTGAGACCACATATAGGTCTCACAAAGAGTTTTGCGGGTCCACAAGGGGTCGTCGTCGTAGTTGTGATGAAATCGACAGGTCACCTCTGCAACATCCATCAGGCGGATTGTAGGTGCACAGATGTGGAGCTGCAACCTCACTCACAAAAACTACTTAATTCTTAAAATCATTTTCAAATTAAATCTGTGTGTATCTATATGTATTTTACAATTACACTTTAGTTTTTTTTAGTTTTTTTTTTTTTTTTTTTTTTACAATAAATTAGCCTACCTCTGCATTAAGTAATTTATGCTACCATGTTTATAAGTAATTATTATTAATTTGGGTTGGCTATAAAAAAAATCTAGCTTTTTTTGTTATTTCAGTTTTATTAGTGTATTAGATATTTCACTGTGGGCTCGGTTAGCGGATCACTTTCCTCTGTCTTTGATTCATCCATCATCCCACAAGGACACCAGTCAACATCTTAACATGATGTGATCAATCACTATTGATCCGTGAATTCGTTTGACCAGCCTGGCTTGTTTCCACGCTGCCACCTTGTTTTGTTTGTGTGTGTGTTTTAACCGTAAACTTTAGTCCGCTTTCATTTTCTCCTATAGCTCTAACTCATCAGCTCAGTTTGACTCAGTTTAGCCGTTGCTCTACTGCGTTCAAAGAAAGAAAGAAAGAAAAAAAAAGAGAAAACCCTTCCCCCTCCATGTTTCATCTGGATTACCATTACAAACCTTTCTTTGGCGTGTTAGGACAGCAGCTAACCAACTCAGTGATCACAAGGAAACACATTACAAGAGACAAAATATGAGGTAACATGGAGCACTAGAAACTTAATCTCGTCCTGTTAAATTCATTCCTAATTTAAAAAAAAAAAAAAAAGGAAGAAAAAAAAATTGATGTTTTAAAACACGCAAAACCAGGTTTTACTCTTACTTCCTTCTTCCTATTGTCACCCCACTATGGGTACATGTAATCTACTGCACACATGTACATGTAGCTACCTACATAACATTTAAAAGATTTATCACAGTGTAGCCTAAAACTAAATGTCAATCCACGTCATTTTAGTGTCATAACACAAACAATTTTCAGACATGACAGAGAGAGAGTGTCTGAATAAAAGCAGGTTGCCCATGTTTCATACACAAATATGTCTTAGTCCTGCAAATGAAACAGACTACCTTACCACTGAATATATTAGTGCTATAAATGACATTATTGCAAACTCTTCACTGAATTTACCATGAGAACAGAGGTCGGGATGGAAATATTATTTTAAAATATTTGAAAGATAATTCGTTAGAAGTGATTGGTCACTTCCCACATTTGGGCCCTTCCATCACACAATATGCAATCTAATCCTTGGGGACTATAATTGTGAATCACGTGGACATGACCGAGAGTGTGGGGGGTTTGTTGGATTGGAAATGGTCATTTGTATTGACCAGCAGAGCTGACCACTGCAGGGGAGCGAAAAACGCGTTTTCAGTAAACAAAGACGGACGCGGTAGCGGTGAACACTGGGAGTAAACTGGCCCTCAAACATGGCAGAAGGTATGTTGGGAGTTTTTTTGGGGGGAGTTATCTCTGTGAATGATTGAAGTGGTTTCTGAAGAGGCTGGGTTTCCTTGCATTGTGTTTGAGATTTTTTTGGGGGGGATTCTTCAGCAAAATTTCTGCCTGGTGACCCCCCCACCCCTCATTGTTTAGGGGGAATAGGTTGCCAGCCCTCTTTTGTTTACCCCCCTCTCCCGCTTTCCCTCTGGCTGCGCAGCTTCTGCTTTTCACAGCATTTTGCATGAAAGTGGCAATCTGTGAGGATTACCCAGTTTGAGGGTTAAAAAAAAGGATACTGTAGCTTGGGTGCTAATTTTGACTCAACGCAGAAGTGAAGACATGGGCTCTGTTTCTAACCAGGAATTCCCAGGTTGAGTAACAAAACAAGCTTCTTTCTTTCTTTTCAACGAGCTAATTAAGTTGTTTTCTGGTGAACTGTCTATCTGATTGTAATGGCACATTTTCCAGTTTGTTCACACGTGATCTGCAATCCGTGGTTTATCAAAGCATTAAACGCTCTTTAGAAATCCTGACACCAGGCAGCCTTCAAGATCACTTATTTTGCACAAACTCGTGGCACAAGACTACAGCTCAGTCTCCTTCTTTTTATGAATACGTTGACCATTTTAATCGAAGTGAAGGCAAAACAACAGCCTACGCTTGTTACTTGTGTCTTCATTTAATCAGTTCGTATTGATCAGTGATGCACCAGCGCGAGACAATGAGAAGAAAACTTTTTTACGGCTTTTGTACCTTGCTGAAAGTATGCTATTTTTGCAAAGAGTACAAAAATTCTTTCATTTGCAACAGCACGAGTTGAGCTAATGCAACTTTACATACACTTTTCATTGCAGGAGTGTGTAAGACCGAGGAGGATGAAGGACCGAGCACCGAGGAGGATTCACAGTCTTTCCACGGGGTTGGCGTGTGTAAATGGTTCAACGTCCGCATGGGCTTCGGGTTCCTGTCCATGACCAACCGAGAGGGAGTGCCACTGGACGAGCCGGTTGATGTATTCGTCCATCAGGTAGGATCACCCTCTGCTCGGGGGGAGGGGGGTGAAAGTGTTAACTAACGTAGCAACACTGGCGTTTCCTCTAAACTCAATTACTATTTCGGTCTGGAAATGTACTTTTCCCTAAGCAACAGCGGAAGCGAGATCATCCCACCTGTTTCCAATGTTGTTTAATTAATTTAGATTTTCTTCTCCAACCTAATTGGCTGCAAGCTGCAATAAGTCACTAGACTTTGTAAAAGAAATATACTGGAAAATATAAGGTAAACTGTAATCTAGCTGAGATTTCGATATGTTTCATTAAAGTAAATTTACGTGATCGGTTAATCTGGTTTGGACTGGTGGTTTTAATGCAGTGGTGGGTGTTTCTCCCTCAGGGCAAGACGTGTTGGTCTGCGGACCACCCTCGTGGTCTTTCAGATTGATACTGATACAGTGTGATGGAGAAATGAAAGTGGTTACGCCTCTACAGACAGGCAGATCAGGTTGAGATCAATGCTTAAAGGATAGTATAGGTTCTGTGTGAGCTGCATGGAAAGTGCTCCTCACTTTCATGTTCACTTTAGAACATGAGTGGATTTCATGTTTTTGCCATTCCTCAGTGCATGTTTCCATAAAGTGGGAGCTCTTAAGACAATTCACAAGTTTTTTGCGGTAATGGATGCATAATCAGGATAATTGAGCACTTGTTTTTTAAGGTTAAAATGTGCATTTTAAACAAATTTGGCATAATACAAAATAGTTGCTTAACATATATTTGTCTAAAAAAAATTGTCATGCTATGAGATAGATATAGATGTATGCTCTGACCAAATATTTAATTCTTCACTTGAGGTTTAATTGTTTCTTTCTCATACTGAAGAAATAAAAGAAATCCCCTCATTTCATCAAGGTTTAACCAAAACCCTCACCCACCTTGTAAGTGTTAATGGTAAAGTGGGAGGTATGGATAGGGAGGTGGGGGTGCGTTTCCCTCCTACTTCTCATGTGAGTGAGCGCCTCCACTGCTTGTCTGATAAGATAAAGGCTTAGCATGTGAATGAGAGGAGTCCCCACTAGCTGCTCATTCACCTCAGGTTCCTGTCATAAAGTGATTAGAGGGTCTTTGCTGTCTGCTCAATCCCCTCTGTGTGTGTGTGGTGGTGTGTTTCTACCAGTTTTAAAGAGCAAAGGGGGTATGCGGTTTTACTTGAGGTAAATTTCCTTGTCCACACACCACCATGTCACCACTTTCTATGGCCTCCAGCTGTGGATATATTTCCCTAACAAAGTGCACACATCCATTTAAAGAAGGTCTGCCATCCACGGTTTATTCTCATTAGTTTGCATGTTCTCCCACTCAAGCAACTCTTATTTGTGTCCGTTTCCCTGCAGAGTGTTTTCTGCTCAATGATACATATAGAAAGATTTAATTGTTCTGAGGAACAGTTGAAACTGAAATATTGTTTGGGTGTACACAGGAAGTTGGTGATTAGTCATTTTGAAAACCAAAATGTGAGTTCAACCGCGTGCGGAAGCTTAGTTTTGTGCTCCAGCAGGTAGAGAGGTTTAAAAAGACAGTATAAAGAAGTAGTTGGTGTCACTACAGGCTCAATGCCAGCTGCTTAAAAAAGTCCAGTCCAGTGTGCACAACCTTGTGTGCCATGAAAACAAGTTGATTACTGCTCCAGAAAAGTTGTAACCTAAGCAATAACCTCATTGTGATTGTTCTTATTTCATCCACAAGAAAACCAATGACTTATTTCCTTCTCTGTCATAAGAAAAGTTAGACACACGCGTGTCAATGACAGATGTACAGGGGTTATAGCAACGTAAAAGGCTTTAGCCCTAAAATTAGTGGCCACGTTTCAAAGAAAATTAACTCCCAGGGTCCACCGGCCTTTGTGCAGGTGGACAATAGAGCCACGCATGTGAATGAAGCACCCCTCGGCCGTGACCGAGGCCCTCTTTGTCTCAGCAGCAGTCCTGCTATTGTCCCGCACTGCTCTGATGTCTTTCTCTATTACTGGGCTTCTAGACACATTCTGGACTGAGTTTACAGTAGACCCCCCTGATAATGCCTCAGCATCAGGTCGTGCATCCAAGTGTAAAGGCCACACTCTGATCCTGTACCTGTGTGTTTGTAGGTCTCTGTGTGAGCGTGTACTAATAAGCTGATGTGGGCATGTGGCTGGTGAGGGTCCGTTAGGGGGGTGGGGAAGGTCACACATGGGAGAGGAAGTGGGTTAACGGTCACCAGGGCAGAGAGGCCTGATGGGATTGGGGCTCTGTGGACCTCCATGATATCACTCAAATGTCATGGCTCACCAATTGTGTATCGTCACCACTCAGGACTTTGTAGCACATGCTCAACTGTGAGTGAACGTCACAGGATTAGAGAAGATGGGGCATTTGTTTGTTTTTGTTTTCTGTTTAATGCAGAAGGCGTTGCAGTTCACTTGAACCACTGGCTGTGTTTGTAATGATTCAGCAGCATACATTTTGAGTTCTGAGGTGTCCTAACTGGTTGATTAACCTGAAGATGTGTCTAGGAGATTTACTTCTTGTATTGTTTAAATCATATCCTGTATTTAAGACTTCTCCTGTTGGGTCTGAATTGAAACGTACCCTTTGAGAAGCTCAGTTTGATTCCTAGTGGTTTTGGCAAGCACAGAGTGCAGTCTGTTGCTCATGATTGATAGAGAGATGTGACTTTCCTTAAAATTTAAGAGAGAAAATGGGATTAATGTCTATCAAAACAAACGTGCTATATCACAGATCTTTCTTCCTATGCCAGCCTGTGGTGGCTGACAATGTGGTGACAATTTAATCTCTCACAAGGGAATTTTAGAGAGGAGTTTCCCATGTTGTGTTAACCAGTCTCGTGGGTTTATCCTCAAAAGCACACCACACCTTCCTTCCCTTCATCTCTATTTTCTTTCTTTGGCTATCGGAAATGTTTTTTGGAAAGAAAATAGTATTGAGAGGGACTTTCTTGAAGGTCACTTCAGGTGAACATTTAATGAATATGCAGGTAACCACGGGGCTAGGTTATGGTTTACTCTCAACATGTTTGAACCACCAGTTTCATTGTTGCGCCACTGTTGATTAATTAAGCCTCATCAATGTTGTTGTTGATCAACGCATTTCTTTCAAAAAAAAAAAAAAAAAAAAAGATGTCACATATTCAAGCACTCATATCAAAGGGAGATATCAATCATTTGTGCTTTCCCTCAACTTTTATCTTCCACGTCTTTCTGCCAAACAACTATCCAAGGAATGTCACCCTGACCCCCAACCCCCCAGAGAAGCCACACTGCCTTCTCACCCCACCCCCAACCTCAGCATTAACTCCTGCATCCTGCAGTTTAGGGTTAGTGGTCAGTGTGTTAGTTGTGCTATTTGATGTGAGTGGGAAGAGGGATGGGGGGTGGGGACAGCAGTGTGGAATGCTGTTCCTCCAAATGGAGGGGGTGGGTTGAAGGTTATCCTCATCAGGTTTAACACCCAAACACAGCAGAAAGACAAAGCAGCATTAAGGCAACAGTGCAGGGCAGTGTGTGTACAAACTGCGCAGTAGAGTGGGAACAGCAAGCTTAGTAGTGCTTGTCTATTTATCAGGTGAGACATAATGATCACCTTAAAATACCAGACACCTGATAACACCTATCAAACTCTGGTGTGTGTGTGTGTGTGTGTGTGTGTGTGTGTGTGTGTGTGTGTGTGTGTGGGGGGGGGGGTTCCATTTACCTCGGAAGTCAGATGTTGGAGGTGGGAATGATGTCACACCTGAGTTGATTGAGTTCTAGTAGAGCAAGTCAGAAGCTTGTTAATACTGTTGCTTGCTTGTTGTTGGTATTGTTAATTATACCAGCTGATAACAAGGCATTACTCAGTATTGCATACAAACACAATAGCAACATGTCCATAGACGGGATTTGGACAGTACTGTGTGTGCGACTCATTTAATGAGATACAAATAAGACAGAGGTGTTAATAAACGCTCCAGTTTAAATTTTCTACTGGGGACTTGGAAATCACCAAAAGTCTCCACAGCTTATTCGCCTGTTTGTGATTTGACTTTTTCTGTCATATGAAGAAATACAGGGCTTTACACACCACAGAACGCAAGTTCCACAAACCCCAAACAATAATTTTGATTCTCTTCCTGTGTTCCCTTTCAGAGCAAGTTGCACATGGAAGGTTTCCGCAGCCTAAAGGAGGGCGAGGTGGTCGAGTTTACCTTCAAGAAGTCATCAAAGGGCCTGGAGTCTCAGCGGGTTACAGGACCAGGTGGCATCCACTGTCTGGGCAGCGAGCGAAGACCCAAAGGCAAGAAGGTCCAGAAGCGACGTTCAAAAGGAGATAGGTAAGCAAGGATGAACTGGGAGAGAACAGGAAAGACATTTTTATTTTCACTCATTTGAAATATATAAGTGTCAGATAAACTAAATAAATGAGTAAAGTGGATAATGTTATTTGCCTCTGTAAGATGTTTGCAACATGGTACACCTCATTATTTTATTTTCTGCTACGTTGGATAAAAACCCATGAACACCAGGAGGAATTTTGCAAAAAGTCAAGCTTGAGAACTCTAAAGTAATGAAAGCCCAAACCCAAGGCTGCTATTCATTAATGCTAACACAACTAATTTCACACACTAAAATATACTGAGAGGGTCTCATACAAAGTTCCTAGTATATGGAACAAGCTCCATAAACTGCTACTGTTCTGTGAAAACCATTAATCTCCAAAACATTGATTTTTCAAAAATGAGTGATGTGTTTTTATCTTTGAGATGATGCATTTTTTCATATAATCCAATGGGTTTTCAAATGGTTTATTTATCTTAAGGAGTATGCAAGACACAAAGACACATATTATCTATCCACAAAAATCTAAATCAGAAAAATTGGAGATTGGACAGCAACAAATCATGCACGCTAAATAGCTCAACAAACAGTCATTGTTGTGTCCACTTTGGATCAGATATACAATGGTGTTTTAGTTTCTCCCCATTTTCCTTCCTCTTCCTCAACCCCCACCTCTAGCCCTAGCAAGGGTCACCAGCAGGCTTGATGTGTGACCTGGATCAATAACTGTTTAAATCTGCTGGCCCCAAGTGAATTCACACCCAATGACTCTCCCTCTCTTCCTAAACCTCCTCTACCACTGTGATTTGCAACTCAAAACCCAAACTAATAATTCAAAAATCAATCACAATTCAAATAACACAAACATTAATATATAGAAGTTCTGAGCTTGTTGATATTCAAGAACTTTCTTCTTTCTACTTGACATGAAAGGAGTAAGACTGTCTTTGGTGGTGCTGGAAAAAAAAAATACAATTGCAAAAGTTGTGATTTTCATTTGAACTGAACATGTGCATGATTCTTGAAAAATGAGAGCTAAATTTCATGAGTCCAGGTCTTATGAAAGTTACAAAATGGAAAAAACTGAACAATCTATCTGCAAATATACAGTATCATTACTCCTGAACCATTTCTTCTGAAAAGTTTCATTCAAAGGCAACATTGCCCCTCCAAGTAAAAGGAGCAAAGGGGGCCTTGATTTTTGGGTCCTTCTTTGAATATCAATATAGTGCAGGGTTAGAGGTGTATCAACTTCACCCCCCTGTCAGTTGTGATTAGAGCCAGAGAGTAGTCAGTGTGAGAACAGAGATCATTACCGCCTCAAAGAGTCCTGGGAGGCCTGCTGTGGTTCAATAACTCTCTCTAGACCACACTGATCCATGGATAAGATATTGTTACCCTCTAGCGTATTTCATTATGCAACACAGGATGGTGATTCATGGATTTGTGTATGATTGATTGATCATATTTATAGCCAATAGTTGGATATCTTTGGGACAGGAGTAGACAATATCATGTTTGATGCCACCATAGTGAGCTGCTGTTTTTTAGTCCATGTTTCATAGACCACCTTTGTGAGTGTGTGTATATATGACTGAGGGAGGGGAAAAAGCTCCTGTCCATTTAATTGATAACAGATGCAAGAGCCTGGGCAAGGGGGTGAAAGGTCACTGTTGTCATGGCAACAACGTATGAGTAAATGCAAGTGGGCTGGGGGCTGGGATGGGATTGGGGGTTAGAGGACTGAGGAAAGGGTGGGGGGGCGCGGGATGCGCGTCAGGGTCAGAGTCATTACTGCAGCTTTTTTAGACAAAGGGGCCACTTCCCCTTTCCTCCTCTTGCCTCCTGATGGATGCTGATGTTAGGAGCTTCTGTGATGTAACAGTATAGACCTCAACACCAACCCTACAGCCGTCGCTACAGAGCTGCTCTGAACCCTTGGAAACCGCCCTGTCATAACTTCATCTGCTGCTACAGTGGTGGCAGGGGGTCCGCAGTGGCACACACTGACCGCCCCACGCCCACCACCCATCTGTCTTCCGCCCCTGCACACGTGGCCATTCTATAGATTATGTTTGAACAGAGGTGGCCGATGGCACCCCTGATGGCTCCCGCTGACCCCGCATGGTGTTCATTTCTAAAGTTCAATGCTGATGAAACGGATGTCTTACACAATAGAGTCCAACGGGAAGCTTTTGGCAGTGACAAACTGACAAATAGGGCAAGCTGTTCATGATATCTGACATAATACATGCCATGGAAACCATAGCTCTGTAGACCGCTTGAATATTTATCCCTTCCAGAATCTCCTGCTCGCCCAAAATGCTGCTACTAAGAAAATGTAATAACTTTGGTCATAATTTTTGACCAATAATTTAATAAACATGATGTGTTTTGAGATGTTCAACCTGGTGTGCTCCTCACAGAGCAGTGTAGTGTGACCTGGAATGCCCTTGTGAGATTTATGCAAATGCAACTCAAGTCACACCTAGTGAAATGTTGCCATCTAGTGGCAAACAGGTGAAACATAAAGTCTCCTCTTCACTCAAAAATTCATTCATTACTTCATTTGGATGTTTAAGCTTCACTGTGCAGGATGATGTATGTGCAAAGTTTGACACCAGAAAATCTGTTCATCCATGACCAGTCATCGTCACACAGCACAAAGACAAAGTTACGGACTAGTGGGTGAACATAGTGGGGCATTTAGTAGCTTAAAAATCAGATATTTCCCTTAGGAGTAAGTGGAGACCAAAAATCGAGCTTAAGGAGAGTAAATCTTGGACTCACATTTCCCAGCTGACCAGAAACATGACTGTGGATGAATGTGGATGTTGCTCTGTAACTACTAGATGTGTAAATAGGCAACTCTTTGCTTGAAAGCAATCCATATCAACTCAAATGTTGATGATATGGCAATGAGGTGATCAAAGCTTATTAAGTGCTAAAATGATAATTGAGGGTTTAAGCACACATTATATCTGACTGAAGGCTGTTGGCTCTTGTAGGTGCTACAACTGCGGAGGCCTGGACCACCATGCCAAGGAGTGCAAATTACCACCCCAGCCCAAGAAGTGCCATTTCTGCCAGAGCATCGATCACATGGTTGCCAACTGCCCAATCAAAGCACAACAGTCCTCACCGGGTTCTCAGGGAAAACCGTCCTCTTTGAAAGGAGATGAGGAGGAGCACAGCCACTCGGCACTGCCTCCTGAGACCTCCGATTAAAACGATGAATCGGGCAACACTGACACCGGGGAAGCACAGAGGCCAATCAAACTGCTTTGATGGGATGGGACACACGACCCCCTTCCACCTGTTGAAGCTGCTTTTGGAACTACCTCAGGTTTAAAAAAAAATTGCTCATGAAGAATGTTGCTGAAGTTGGTTTTTTTTTTTTTGTTTTAATTTGGTGTAACACTCAGGAATACTGCTGTATTATTGCACTCAGGACGCTTTCTAAATGTTTGAATCACTGCTGTTTTTTGAGGGTTTTGAGATTGTAGTGACTAATGCCATTTAACGGATTATCCTAATAGGTTTTTGTAGAATCTGCGATTTCTTTTTTTATGCGATACTGTGCCTCTACTGTGGGCATTATACCTCTTGTTTTTGCATAATACTCAGTTTGTGTGTTTAGTATGGAGCTACACTTTTGCTGCCTTACCATTTAGTCCTCTTCCTGACTGTTACACCTCACTATCCGACAGGGCAGAGACGTGACAGTTAGTACCTCTGTAATGAATGTTAGCTTGCATATCGCATGGGGAACGGGAGGGTTGATGAAAACACATGGGATGGGTTTTAGGGTATAGCTATAGGCAATGTATTGGCATCTGCTAATATTGCAATTGACCATCCAGTTTTCCTGAGGCCAAATGAATGTCGGACCAGAAGTGGTTTCCAGCTTTTGGTCAGAGTTATTTTGTTGAAATTTCATTATTTTCATCCAGCGTTTTGCTGGCTGTCTAAAAGTGCACGATCTACCTCACTGGTGCATGTTTGGTCTGCTACTAAAACTGTCATCCTAACTGCTGATGGTAAACCAAACATTCTCAGAATACATCTTTGGAGATTGTGATTTGAATTGGGATTAAATCAAATCCTTTTTGCACTACAGTATTTACACAGGATTAGCCATTAGTTATAATATACCTCCTCAAAGAGTCACTTAACACTCCCTGAAAAGCTTCAGTTTTTGTTGACATCCAGTGGTTGAACTTCTCATTTTGCTGAGGTGATGCACAGGTGTACTCCAGGATCCTGTGATATCTTTCTTCAGATAACTTATTCACCTGGCACACCTGGCCAAGTTGGAATGAATGTTGGATTTGCGGCTTTTGAAAAGTTACAGAAATTGTCAGACAGACACACAGAGCGTTTTCTGAAGCTTTTTGACAATCCAACAGGCATTTCTTACATTGTGTGCTTGGCCACTTAAATCTCAGGAACCTAAATGTAGTCAGGTGTGGTCTGTTGTACTGTTGATGTGTGGTACTATAGCTTCACGCTACATCACAACTGCTCAGAGTGTGGAAAAACATGTTGTGATCATTATTTGGTAGGGAATGCAAAAATTATTAGACTGGGTGCAGTTACTCTTAAACAGAGAGGGCAAAATGCTGCTTTTCAGTTTGGTGTTAAATTACTCTTTAACCTTTCTGGGAGCTGGAAGTATTACATTTGTGAACTTTCCATCTATACTATATTCTCATTTTATTGGCTGCTGTGTGAAAGGCTGCTGCTTTTTTTTTTTTTATTACCTCAACATGGATTTGATAGAATTCCAATGAATGTGATACTAAACCCAAAACATGTACAACTTACTTTCTAATAAGATACTTGACCTGGACTGAGTTAATGAGGCGTCCAGCTAGCTCTCCTCTTGATACTTGAAGAAAACGAGGCAGAATCAGACATGATGTTGCCAGTGGGAAGGCTGGTGTTTTTGTTTATATCCAGTGTGATCCATTTATAGGTAGTTATTTAAGACATTACCTCCCTATAACCCTTTGTAGGGTAATAGTTCAGGAACACCAAGCCTGCACGGAGGAGCATGTAGAACTAGCTAGCTAATCAGCATTTTACTCCCATTTTACAGGAGAAGCTGACGAGACTTTTACACCCAATTAATATATATGTAAAATTATTCTAAAGCCTTTTTTAAAAAGAAAATCATACTACGTATTTATTTTCATCCAAGAATGCTGCAGCTTCTCCTGATCCTGTCAAAGCCTCTCAGCAATTAATGTTTAATTAGACGTCAGAAAACTGCTAAATGTCATTCAAAGCTACATAATGACTTGAGAATATATTTGGGTAACACATTTTTTAACATCGAGGTACTCGTGTTACTTACTTGATAAATCATTGTCCTTAATAATCCATTGCAGTATAATTCCAGTGATATTGCAATACAAGAGTAACAATATAAAGCACATACTGTACAGGTACATAGTATTATGACTGACTTAAACTGTGTTTCTTTTATTTCCTTGTATGTTTTTTTTAATTTACTTTCTATTTTTGTGCACAATGAGTCTTTCACGAGAGGCACATTGTTATTCCTAACTATGCCAAAACCAATGCAATGTTACTCTGCACTAATCATGTGTAAGATGCATTCATTTCTTTTTTTTATATTCATTTTAATCTCTTTTGAATATGTGTTACATATTTTATATTATATGTTTTTAGAATTTCATATACCACATACAGTTGCTTGCTGGTTGGGAGAAAAAAAAACTACACTCTTAGTCTCATCTCAGGAAATGCCAATCTGAAAAACTCAGGGATTACTTCAGATTGATTGGAAAGAGTCGAGGAGTGTTTATTCAAGACAAAATTGGGATTAATTGCTCACCCGCATGATGTGAAACATAGGACAAGGGAGCGAAAGTAAAACGGGCTTAGTATTGTTTGCTTTTGAATGTCTAGGTGCAACAGTTTCTCTTTTTATTCATTAAAAATACTAAGATTGTGTCAAAAAAAAGCAATGATAACAAATGATGTGAAGCAGTTAAGATTGAGATTTACATGTTTTTTGACTGAATTTTCCATGCACCCAGTGTGATAATGTTCTTTATATTTTCTCCACATTGACATAACATGCCATGATATAATATGATATGAAGAAAATGTTCCACTATTATTGTATTTTTTTCCTCTATAATCGTTGTAGATGGGGATGTAGTAGAATATTGTTAAAAGGGACTGGGGCTGGTAGTATATAATCTGGGGTTGTCTCATCTCAACACATGGCTGATACTTGGTGTTTCAGACTATCAATGCTTATGACAAAAGAATGTGTCATGGATGAATTAACACTCAAATCTTGCTTTGTAGTCTAATGTTAGGTTGTGTTTATATACTATACGTTTTCCAAGTGTAAAGGTTACGTAAGGAAACACTTTTTTGATAATTACACTCAGGATATAAAAGGACAGAAAGATTGTGAATGTAAGTGCTCTGATTAGGTGGAATGGTTTCATTTTTTTCTGCATATTTACATTGAATTTACCACTTACAATTATAATGCCAGTACATCCTCTAACTAAATTGAACACTTTCCTTTCTCTGCATTGAAAAGGTGTGCACACATATGACTTTTGTTCATCAATTTCTGTGATTGTAACTTTTTAATCCCTGAATCTACTGAATACCTCATCTGTCAAAGTCTAACTGGTGATTGTGACACCCACTATAAGGTTGAACAAAAGTGTTGTATTGTAATGTTTGCAATATTCTGCTGTACTTAGTGATGTTTTCAAAGTATCATTTGGAAACTAAAGTCCATGACAGAAGTTGTGATTGCAACAAACCTGTCTGACCCCTCAGTGGTGTGTTATTGTTATTTGATTGTCGGGTGTTAGATGGGTTAGAAATATCTTGAAATATCTTGAAAATCCAAGGACCTGTAAGACTATCTGCTCAGGGTAACATTTGAAGCACATCAAAGCATTCTGCATCATAGTTTGCTCTGTGTGGTACATTTTGTTTGTGACCATCAGCCATTTCATTTGTGGTGTTATATCGTCAGGTAAGTGGCTTGAGCTTCTTCCAAAAATGTGCATTTAATACTGATGAATGTATCAGTGTTTACTGCCATAAACTTACAATTATCTTGATCTCAGGCAATTTAATGGCTAGTTTGTCAATGATGAGCAGCATGTAGGCTTTTCAAAGTATTACTGTGATTATGTTTCTATATGTAAAGATCTGCTCCATTTCCTAATAAATATGTCAGTATCCATGTGTGTTTTTCATGTACTCTTTCTCTTATAATTATTTACAATCACGCGATCTGTATGACATCATTGACTACATTCGCTAAGCAGTCATAGAAGAAATATTCAGATCCTAAAGCAAAAGTAGAAATAACACAACATAAAAATACTCCACTAAAAGTAAGAGACTTGCATTCAAAGGTTTTGAGCACAGAATACTTATAAGCAAAATGTACTTTGGTATCAAAATACACTCCTTAAAAAAAAGGGATATACCAGCCATTTTTTACAAAATGGCAACCCCAGAGCTGTCCCTATTAATTGGACATGATTAATATTAAGCTTTAACATATGGTTTCAAAACTATTAATAAAGCCATTAATTACAACAATAAAGTGGGTCTAAGCAGAAAGTGGCACCAGCATTTTAATAGTTGAGCTGGTCAAGATGGACTTAATTTGAACTATGTCTTATTTAGTACTGAGAACTTTATTCTCTAAGCCATGCTTTAAATGTTCAATAGTAATATGTTTTGAATGTAAAATATGAATCAACAAGGTAACACGTGACTCTAGCTGTCAAACAGATGTGGTTATAGTAGATGTAGATGCAGCCCTACAGCAGTGATGTTGCTAGGTACGCGTCCTGCGTCCCTGACGCATTAAAATCTGAAAGGAAGCAGTAAACTCACTATCCATGCGTCCCAGGGACGCAACTCATTTTTTCCATGAAAAACGAAACATTGTGAACAACAACTCGTGTTTAAAATCACAGTAACTAGCAAAAGTAACTTCGCTGTCAGCAGACCAGGCAAGCGCTGTTTCAACCCTCTGCGCATCTACTCCGCGCAGACGTGATCCCCCGTGTACAGTATCGCGACATGCTAGTTTAGCCACTACCACAACAATTAGCCAGTCACCGCGGATTTCGTTTCAACAATTAAAGATACGAACTTCATAGTAGTAAATAAACTCATATTTCCACTGCTCGATGCTGTGTTCACTCATGTCGACAATGTTTTAACGTCTTGGGGACGTGCTGTAATGAAATAAATAAAATCACTTTATTTTTCTCAACAGACTTTCCACTGTGTTAGTTAAGTTTCATTTGTGTACTAAAAGTTCCACAGTGACTGACTCAGTTCATTTGATTTAGTTGATGTTCAGACAAGAAGATTCTGGTCTTATTTTGGTGAAAATTTATTTGTTGACTCTGTCATGGTGATGAGAATGTTTTGTTTATGTGTTAAAATCAGCACTTTTATTTATAATTTATTTTGGTACTACATACACCATTTTGTTTTCATTTGAATTTTAGTAATTTATTTTAGTGCTATTTATGTTGCTACAAAAATGCTATTTTATTTGAATTTTGTATGTCATGCCGCTGTGACAGTTGTTTTACATTAAACTTTTCAGATTTGGAATCTTATTTAATTTCAGATACGTTTTGAACATACATGAATATATCCGTTAATTATAACCATATCATACCACGATCAAAGGAGTTTAACACTACAATTTAAGAAATACAAAAATATAAGAAATGAAAAAAATTTATATGGGACCCATTGAATTTCCCAGGGACCCACTCAAATCACCACCTGTGGGTCCCGGGGACTCACTACATTGAAAACCTATCAACATCACTGCTACAGTGTTTCCTTTTGAAATGTAGAGAAGTGAGTATAGGTGGAGACAAACCAAATTAGAAGTAAGACATCCACAAAATTTCACTCACCACTGTTGACTCACCATAGCACGCTATCACAAAAGTTAAAACAGTCATATGGTTACATTTTAAATACACACTGTACTTTAAGATGTACATGTAATCACCATAATTAATATAAATCTAAGCACACCGTATATAATGTATTTAGACATGTTAACATGAATTGACTGTACATAAGCACCCACTTCATACATATAATCAAGAGCAAATAAAAAAAACAGTCATTCCTTGTGTGTGTAAACACACTTGGCCATCAAGGCAGATTCTGATTCTGATTTTATGGGTCATCGTCTGAGGACACTTTCTGACCTTTCTCTTTTTGACTCAAAGAAGGAAATACATGAGGTATGAAATCCTGAGAAAAGGAGCTTCATAGTATTACATGAAGTGAAATACCAACGAATACAACCAATTCCTCTTTTCTTTCTGCCTGGTAAAAGATAAGAACCCAATGTACAGTAGGGTACCATGGTTCTACCTAATAGAGGTACCGAGTTTGTCCACCGGTGGCGCTATTCTCTGTTTATATTTTCAATGACACAACCTCCAATATGGCCGCACAGTGAGAGGAACGCTAGCTAAACTCATAGCTCACATGACAAATATTATAACATAGTGGCGTTTTTATTTTGATATTTTGAAGTGGACTCATGTTTTGCGATGTTGTTGCCACTTCACACGGTGTGTTTAAGAAGCCAGACAACCTGCAGAAGAAGCTTCGCCTCTGCTCTCTTAAAACTATCGAGGCACAGGGATAATGCTAACGTTTCTCACTTCAGTCATTCAGCTGGACTTTCTGCACAAACATGCAAGACACTTCTGTACAGAAAACACGGAGACCCTTCTCAGACCATTCAGTAAGAGATCCGTTTAAATAACATTTAACATGTCGTTTTTGCAGTAGTAATTGTAAATATGTGACCTTTTCCACGGTTGCATAGAAAATACATCAGGGAAGCGGCTGTACGTTGCTGTTTAACGGACGTGGGGTGATTAACCAGACGTACATTTGCCATGTCAACCAGTTATTCCTCATCCTTTAAGTGTTTTCTCTTTTAAAAGTCCAAAATATTGTTTGAAAACATTTCTGATAAAGCATTAATCTCACCTTTGTCTCGCTTGTCCGAGTAAGTTTTAGTGCAGCGTCTTCTTCGTTTTAATGTGGCGCACCAAGTCGGAATAGGCTCATTACTGCCCCCTGCAGTCGGAGGGTGGGAAAACACAAAGACGCAAAGATGAGATTTATGCTTTATCAGAAGTGTTTTCAAACAGTATTTTTCAGGCTTACAAGAGAAAAAACTTCAAGAATGAGACTGGTTTGTTTGGCAAATATACGTCTGTTTAACTGCCTCACCTGTATTAAAGAATAGCACACAGCCATGGCTGGATTACCAACCATGAAAAGTGGAGGCCCCCTTGGGCCCCAAAACCCACAGGTGTACTCCATATTTGTTAGAAATTAGCAACACTGAAGTACAGTATCACCTATGAAAGGTTCTCCATCCTTCATCTTGTAGCTCTGGTATTGAAAATGGGTCCTGTGTGAATGTCTATTTTTAAGACCTGTGCTGTTTTGTTTTATTAAATTGCTAAGTAATTAATCTCACCTTATTATCATGGAAGACTATGAAAACTAGCAAATGTTCACATTTGAGAGCCTGTGTCAAGCAAATTTCTGTAATTTTTCCTTTAAAAAATACTTGATTATCAAATTTGTTGCAAAATGATAATATATATATGATTTTCTGTCAATTAACTAATTGATTCATTGATTAAAGTAATAATTTCATCTTAAGTGTACTGGTTGGTTTCGGTGTGTCTGGGGAAATAATGAAAGTGACATGTTCAGTAGGGGTCAGTAGAGGATCAACAACAAACTTTTACAAATTTTTGTGGATTAGGGCTTTAACGAACAATTGTTTTTGTTATCGACCTGTTAGATATTGATCTGTTGATTAATTTTTTTCTTTAATTGTTTGAAATTTTCATTGAAAGAAGAAAAATGCTCATCAAAATTTCCCAATGCCCAAATGTTATATTCAGTTCCTTGTGTAAAAAAACAGTGGTAATCAATGTATAGTGACATAAAATAGACAAATGCTGCAAATTCTCACATTTCAAAAGCTGAACCAGCAAAAGTTTGGTATTTTTGTTTGATAAAGGATGCTATCAACAAACCCAACTAGAGCAAATCAAAAAACCATATGGTGGATGAAGACTAGGTTTTTGTGGTTGCCAGGTTGGAGGATGTAGATCTGCCCCCCATAGGTGCAAAGGATGTCCTGGTTAAAATGCTGGCGGCCCCAATCAACCCATCTGACATCAACATGATTCAAGGTAAAAGTTAGTTAGCACTCATACCATAGCCTAATTTAAAAGTAGCTATACCAAGAGAAACAACATATCAAAGAAACAGAACAAGTATTTATTCTTTGTAAGGTGTGAAGACCAGTTGTTAATTTAACTGTTTTTTTGCAGGTACTTATGCCATCTTGCCTGACCTCCCAGCTGTTGGGGGCAATGAAGGAGTGGCCCAGGTCGTAGAGGTGGGCAGCCTGGTGAATTCTCTCAAAACAGGAGACTGGGTTATTCCAAAAGATGCTGGTCTAGGTAAATTGCACCTTGATTTACATGGGTCAGACCATGGGGTCACAATTTTGTCTCCTGACATGAATTTTGTGGCTTTGTGTGAAAAGGGACATGGAGGACAGAGGCAGTGCTAGCTGAGAATGATGTAATTTCGCTACCGAATGACATTCCCTTGTTGTCTGCTGCCACTCTGGGGGTAAACCCCTGCACTGCCTTCAGGATGCTCTTTGACTTTGAAGATCTTAAGCCAGGTAATCAGGTCCACACACAAGGGCATAACATTATTTTTTTTACACATAGTGGAGTAGACATATGAGGAGTCATTTAACTTTACTAATGTTCCAGTCCCGAATGAAGATTTTGATTAAATTGCTTGCTTAACAACCACATGGATGACACCTTGGCCCCCTGCTTGTGGAAACTCAGTAATAATGAAACTACAAATATTTTGAAAGACAATTTTTTAGTGTGTGTGAGTCACTAAAGCACAGGAGACTTTCAGAAGCAGTCAGTAAATTTTAGCTGTGTTTATCAGGTTTATGGGTTGGTATTTGGAGCATGAACTTGCCTATAGGGTGGAATTCTGCACCTTCAAAGCTCCATGGGAGTTCATTACCCCACAAGCAATGTGGTAGACACATGATGAGAACATGTCTAGTAGTTTAAGTTGCTGAACAGAAATGGAAACCCTAGGATGCAGTATTCCTGCATAAAAAATGTGCACTGAAGTAGTTTTAGCCATCATGTGACAATTTTTGCCCATGTTGTGTTTTCAGGTGACACAGTGATCCAGAACGCAGCCAACAGTGGAGTGGGGCAGGCTGTCATACAGATTGCTGCTGCACGAAGAATAAACACTATCAACGTAATCCGAGACAGGTTAACTCAGTCATACTACTCTCATTCTGAAATGACTCAGTTTTGTAGCTATTTTGTGTAAATTAATGACTTACACTTCAGCTCTCTTTCCTGTTCCTCACTCTCCTTTAAAAAGTCTAAAGACAGTCCTAATCATTGGCTCAGGTTATCAGTCTGTCCCTGAAGGCCATCTGACTATGAGATACTGGGGTCTTTTTCTCCTAGGGTAACAGAGAGAGAGTTTTTTGTGTGCTGGAATTTATGAGTGTAATGAACTTCCTCATTGTGTCCTTCCTTTCAAAGGCCAGAGTTCCCACAACTCAGTGATAGGTTGAAGGCTATTGGAGCGACTCACGTGATCAAAGAAGAGACGTTGAGGCGGCCTGAGATTAAGGAACTTTTCAAGGTCTGGTTATATATGGTCATGTGGTTTTGCCTGTCAGTGCATAAACATTGTCTCAACATGCTTCTTTTTTTTTTTAAAGACTTGTCCAAAACCAAAACTGGCATTAAATGGAGTTGGAGGCAAGAGTGCAACAGAACTGCTCCGTCATCTACAGTGAGGATGTCGAATAATCTTTGTCAACATGATACAGTAACTTTCCACTGCAAAGAAAATCTAGTCATAAAATGCCAATTTTTTTTTATTTATTCCAGGGTTGGAGGCTCTATGGTGACATATGGAGGGATGGCCAAACAGCCTGTTACTGTCCCTGTGGTAAGATGAAATTTGCTATCTCCTCCCAGATTTAACATTAGATCTCACAGAGACATTATTATAAGTTTAGTCAGTACACTTACTAAACTTGGTCTCTCCAGAGTGCTCTTATTTTCAAGGATGTGAAGGTTCGGGGATTTTGGGTCACACAGTGGAAGAGAGATCACTCAAATGGTAAGTCCGCATTGAGTCACCTCTTTCACAGATCAAGTTACCGAAATTAGTCTTTTTAAATTAATTTCATGAGAAACTCCCCTTTCTCCTTAGATGAAAGGGTTTTTAGAGCCATGCTGGACGAACTGTGCTCCCTCATCCAGCAGGGAAAGCTCACAGCTCCTGCCTGCACTGAGGTGGGACTCCAAGACTACAGCAAAGCTCTTGACGCAGCTATGCAGCCTTTCACTTCAGCTAAACAGGTCCTAATCATGTGACTTGACTGGTCTTATCAACTGATTGCTACACTGTCAATACCATAGCATGTGAATTAAAAATGTGACTGCTACATTATTGTTGATGTGTCAATCAAATGTACTGCTCAACCACATATGTTACTCAATAAATGTGTCATCACAGCAGGCTCAAAGTCTGGTATCTGTTATGTTCTGCAATCACAATGAGTTCCCCTCAGTTTACTGGCCGTAATCAAAAACTAATTTAATCTTTAATCTTTATATAGTTAGATGAGATAAAAGGAATAATCGTAGAACCAAGATAATGCAGCTTTATCTGTTATGTTCAGTAACAGATTGCATTGCATTTAACTGACACAGAGATGAATAAGTGCAATTATTATTAATCATGCTGATATTACCAGTGCATTGATTGTTTCTGTTAAAACAACATTCATACAAGTAAGATTGATTTCTGAGTTTATTAAATAGATACAGCAGAGTTTGACAGGAAAGTTTGAGGAGGGAGAAACATTTGACTAAAGTGTGGATTTGATCCAGAATATCACAGTTGCATGGTATGTACTTACAGTTTTTAGAGTGACTGGAAATGAAGTACTCAACCAATATCAATAAACAAGGTAAAGAGGCCGCTCAAAGAGATTGCCAAAGCCAAAGGTTGTTTTTTCACTGTTTAATTATATCTAGTGAATGACTCAGTTAAATTACAGATATCCTATAATTTAAAACATGAAGACATGTTGATGTGATGCTAACTGTTAAATCTAGTCATTTGTACAAATATTTACATGACCACAATATACAAAATGCTTATTCTTGAATTTCAGTTTTTCTATTCAATAACTTCCTGAGGCTTCACTAACATATTCATATCTGTGATAGATGATCATTACCGACTGGCTAACACCAGACTTACAGCCACAGAGAGGACTGGCAGCAACCCAGCATGAATGGCAACTGCCCCCTCTTTTTCCAGACAGCATTTATACTTGTTGAAGTCTACCTCTCTGGCTGCACACACGTGGTCAACACGGCAGTCACTGTCACACTCTGTCAGGTCATAGCTGACAGAGTTGAACACATAGTACTTCTGTAGGTAGCAGTGGCTATTGGCAATGCTCTCCAGAACCTGGTGCATGGAAGCTGGGGAGGCGTCTGGTACTCTGAAGCTCTCTGTGAGGCGGTATTCTTTCTCCCAGCGCCCACGAGCCGCATTAGCGCGAGTCAGGTTCAGATAATAGGTCACCACATCCTGAGGGTGTTCAGATAAGTAGTTTAAAAGCAGAAATGAAAACATTATTTGCTACAGGGCCTTTTCTGAATTTAAGATGTATACTGCAACTTAAAGAGGTTCCTGAACATATCTGAATGGAAATTACACAGACTGGCACTGACTTACTTTAACAAGAAGTGTTTGGGTGTCATATTCAAAGACACGAATCCCAGGGTTGTTTGCTCCATCCACAACTCCAGGAAGTGTTGTTTTCCACGGTGTGACTCCTGGGCTGAGGAACATTGTACTGATAGGAGAGTCTGCAGAAAGATAAAAAGGAATCCCTGCTGATTTTCCTAATATTACAAATGTATGTATGGCATAAGGTCATGTAAGAGCTTGGCTCTTAATGTGAGCTTCACTATGCACCCCTGTCAAATCAATCAACACTGATGCAAAACAAGGGGAAGAGTTTGTCTTAGTTGTAGTGGTAGTATCATAATAGAATGACTTTACCCTCTGTGTTGTAGAACATGCGGAAACTATCCGTATGGTGATGGCCAAAGAACTGCCCGAGTATGACGGGATGATGCTTCTGAATTAAATCCAAGTATTTCTGGTTGAATTTAGGTCTAAACCACGGCTTATTTCTCTTCTTCTCAAAGAAACCTGGGGGAACGTGGCCAATGATGTACACCTGGTAGAGAAACCAATGTAGAGTTAGTTAAAAATTATCAGTTTTCATTTTCTGAGTTCTACTACTTTAACTGATCAATCTTTATGCAAGGCAGGGGGTTAAACTGAGCCAGAGCAACTAGAGAGCTCAACTCCAGATAGTGTCTGGTTGCGATTCAAATGAATCTCTTTCACAACCTCTTTTTCATTATTAGTCATACAGTACAAGAGATTTAAATGGACAGTATTCCTTCTGTTTACCCTGGTAACCAACTGTAAAAAGAGGAAAGAATTACTCATGCAAGGTATTTTTTTATTGCTCAGTAGGACTAATTCAAACATGACAACACACACAGGACTGCGGATAAGTGGAAGTCCCTTAAACACCCTACTAATTGTGATGGGGCTCCCACTTTTAAATCCAATTTAACTCCTGTTGCAAAGCACAGATGGACAAGATGCTTTGCCTTCTCTTTGTTGTTGGCAGCTTCAGTAAGAACATGATCAGCCCAGCTAAACTGGCCCGCTGGGTCGTCCATGTCCGTGGTCAGCTTGTTCTGGTCATAATAGAGGTTAGTGTTGAGGACCAGCATCCTGAAACCTGTTCGACTCAGCAGCTTTTCTGTGTAATATCCACCTGCAGAGGAGGAACATTGTAGAAAACACATGACATGTGCTTTAAAATGTATAATTTGTGAAATTGTCATAATTGGATTTGTTGATTCTTGGGAGAGCAATCATGCATACATTTGTTAGTATCAGATGAGGCTATTTTCACCTTTAATAAATGTTACTTGGGACTCTGGCTCCAACCAGTCCTGCCACATTTCTGCTGTTTGGTTATAGATGTAGTTTGGGCCTGCAGGGAGCTGGCTCTTGGGGTGGTAATCATGGTTCCCCAGGGCAGAATACACTTTAGTGTCTGAGGAAGGCAATGAAGAACTTTCATCATTAACAATACTAAATCAATACTAAAACACTAAAATGAATGTTGCTCTATGATGATGATACACAGGATTTTTAACTTAGACTTACTTGGAAAGATCTGTTTTATGATGTGAGTGAGGTTGCTGATAATTTCCAGTACTTTGTCTTCTCCCAGATCCTCATTGGGTAGATGTGGTGTGTCATCTCTGAGAAGCAAAACACAGGTTGTTCAAAATCGGCTTCTTCTTTTTAGTTTAAGTATTAAATGTTGTAAGAGGCAGTGATGGAGAGGGAATGATGAGAGGGTCCTGTCCACGAAAGTACAGTAGGAATATACAGTAGTTCTTTATGGTGAACTACGCAGCAATCTCTCTGTGGCCAAGTTGTGCCCCTAGTACAAGGTATCTCGTAAAAAAAAAACACCATGATTACGAAGCTGGACTTGGGACTTAGCACAAGGCAGTTATCCATTCAGTACAGAACAGACACATATACCCTGTCCACACGATGAAGTCCGGGTCTGGCAGAATATCCTTCATGGCATACACAGAGGAGTTGATAAGATGCCATGGCGAGTCACAAGCGTAGTCTCCAAATTTCCCCGCATTCACTGCGGGTCGTTTACCGCTTGATGCGCACACCAGTTCAGGGGTGTCGGTCAAATTGTATGTATGGTCCAAATGCAGATCCGTGATGTGCCAGAAGTTCCCTGGATATATATATATATATATATATAAAAAAACATGCGTAATTGCATACACGAAGTTATTCCAGCAAAAAGATAGGACCATTTGAAGAAACATTTCCATGTATTTTTGGTCTTTTGGACACTTAACCCACCTGACAGCGTATGGACCTCTTTGAAAAGCAGACAAGACAGGAGCAGCTTCACTGCGGACATGCTGAACTCTTGGAAGAAAGCAAACATCCGACAAAAGTGAAGTCTAGGCTTGAGAGGTAAGTCTATAAAGGGCAAAGCAAGATAAGATACAGCTATTCATGACGTATCTTTGGCTTGAGGGTAGTCCATTACTCTGCAAGAGAGACGTTTTATATTTGGTTCCCTAACTCTACTGATAAAATTTCAAATATTAAACGAACAGCCTATCTTCGATTGCCTAATATGGGCTACACCTTTCTTATTATTAAGAAATTCAAAAGTCAGTGTGCATAATGAATTAAAAGGGATAAGTATCCCATAGATTAAGAGAGTTTTGGCAGCACGCCCAGAACACATCTAATGTAGTGTAAACTCACAGACTATAAGGCAAATAAAAGCTAATTATAGGCTACATATTTGAGATCACCATAAAAAGGCATCAGAGACAGTAATCTGGGTACTTGCCGAATCCTTCCTTATGAACTATTTTTATGTAGGCTCAAGATAAAATCAGTAGGCCTATTTTTACAGTTTCAAAAATAGCATCTTACACTCGACCTATAAAAGTTCACACCACGAATGGATGCATGTTTGTTTTATTTAATCGGTGTGGTAATGTGCTAATGCTACCTTCAAGTAATGCTCGTACTTTCTGCATCTGAAGTTGTAATTTAAGAGCAAATATGTGTCTTTACAGCTGATTTTTGACAGTAAGATGTTAATACAGGGGAGAAGCATTTAAAAGGTAGGTAGACATTTTATAATTCCAGACTTGTCAAAGCTTGAGGGTATATTTCCTCCTATTGTACTCAACATTACCCAGTACTGTGTGTAACGTTCACACGGTGGTTACCGCCAGATGCCTCGATAGAGTACATTGTTAGTGCAAGCAATATTTCCCACAGCACATGAAGGCATCAATGCCCTGGCTCACCGCCCTGCTTGTTAAACTAGTGTGAGTTTAAGCCCCGAGCTTTACCTCTCAGGCACTCTTTCTACAAAGCTGTACACCGCCCCCAGTAAATTATATCATCCAAAATGTCAGATGACTACACACTAATAGTATGGTTAGGGCTGTAGCTGAGAGTCGAGCGCGCCAATCATTGCGACAAATGTGCAATGTACACACACCCAGAGATTGAGGTCCGTCTGACAAACGAAAACCAGGGCAAAAACATTGGTCTTGTTGAAGATTTCGCGGGACTTCCGCTATGCGCATGCGCTGTATATTGAGTTTGGCGCGGGACTTCTACACAAGTAAGACGTCTAAAACCTGCGTGCTGTTGTTGCTCCTGCTCCAGTGTCAGTAATATCGATTTTATTAACTTAAATACAAGGCGCCAACATGTGGAATCAGGGTGAGTTTAATGTCCACTCTGTTGTGTTCATAAAGTGGCCATGTTGTTTGACTGCAACTAACGTTAGCTTGAATATGAACGACCTCCTTTTTGTTGTTGTGTCTTGGCTGGTAGTTAGCAGGTAGTGTGTGGTGTAAACACCGAGTTAAGTCAACTGTCACTGCCTTTTTGTTTTTTTCAGGAGGGTACAGTGAGTCCAGTATGGTCGGGGGTTACACTCAGTCTCCAGGAGGCTTTGCATCTCCTGCTTTATCCCAGGGAGGAGAGAAGAAAGGGGTCTGTACCTCTCTATAATCCACTGGAAGCTTGAAACAGATTTCATTTATCAACCTGTCTATTTAGCCCCTCTTTCCCTTTTACACATTTGCGCACATATCCCTGTGTGTTGATGTAAACACTGAATTACAGTAGGATGGTGAGGCACAGCAGTCAACTTGTGTGCAAAGATGTCCTTGCTGTAAACATTAACAGCAGTTACCTCTTTGGCTACCAGGAGACATTTGTTAGGAATGCTGTCGATTTGAGCAAAAACTAAAATTAACAAGTTATTTATTTTTTAACTACATCCATTAATCAGTTTTTAGTAGCTTCAGACATGATGGAGATGAGACAGTGGGCTCCTGGTCATGGGTCTTTGTCCCCTGGACCAGCAATCTATACATGGGTCCAGGTCACATTAATAGACTATGTTACAAGGAATTATTGTCATACACAGCTGTGAAGCACTAACAAAAATATGATATGTAGTCCTTTGTTTTCTGCCATTGTTCGACCAGTATGACTGTAAAAGTGGTATTCAATTACATTCTATGGGGTATTAAAAAGTCTTGTTAAAAGATGTAAGTTTGGGAACTGTGCAGAAACCCTGTGTGTGTGTATTTTACAGAGAACCCGTGCGACACAAATAATCCCCTGCACAGTGTCTCAGCTCATGTCTGCTTCCCAGGCTGATGAGACCTTCAAAGTAGGAGATGTGGAAGTTGCCCAGGTAAGATGGAACTAGCTAATTTTTGTTTGAGAAATGACTTTAATGTTTAATCCATTGTCATTTTAATTAATTAATTGATTGATCATTTCAGCAGTTAAGACCTGTCTGTATATGCTGTCTGTGATAGGACCTATCTTCACAGTGCTGAAAATAAAATAAAAAACCCTGGCGTGTTTGCATTTCTTTAAAGCAAACAAGATGTAGCAACAGGGCCCCTGCAAAATAATGTCAGAGAGGAACTTGTTTTGAGGAACATTTGCATATGCAAAGATAGAAACCATTTTTAAAATGGCTAATTCTCTGCAACTAAAATGGCAAAGAGGTATGTCAACTGTGTGATTTGCACAATCCAAATCTTCATCAAAACTTGCATGTTGGTTGCTAGCTCTGAGGTTAGTGCCCCTTTTTTATATGATCGTTTTAATGGTCAAAAATATAGAAAAGGGGCTAGAACCCACAACCTGCATTGTTCATATAATTCTGAAGGAAACACTTCTTTCGTGCCATGTAGTAATTCAAGTGATAATACAATACAGCATATTGTTACACACCTTAATTAATATGTAGTCATTTAACTTTCCCAGTTGCTTTGTTTGATAACAGCTCATGTTCTGTGTCTTTCTCGTAGGTTACCATTGTGGGTGTCATCAGGAGCACAGACAAATCCATGACCAATATCCAGTACAAGGTCGATGACATGACAGGTGCTCCCATGGACGTGAAGCAGTGGGTAGACACAGAGGTTAGTGGGCGTCATTTTACCTTTGTCCACACAATTTAAAAAAAAAAATATATATATTCTGCTGTTTTACTTATGCTCACATGTGAGAGATGCATATGAACCGTTAAAAAAAATAAGGTGATTCTTCAACCACCTAAAACAGTGCATTATTTTATGGATGTGAGATCATTTGATGGCATTGGTGTGATAGTTCAGAGCATACTCATTACTGACCATTATTTCTGAGAAACAAATGTCACTTCCCATCTTAACCTTGTCAGCAAATTGAGGAAGTTTTGAATCACACGCATGGTACAAATGAAAGTATACACATTCAGAAACATAAAATTATCAGGTTAAACAACCATAGAGTTACACATACCAGCATGAATTATGAATGTAAGATCAAGACCCAGAGCAAATATAAAGTGTGAGGTTTGGTAATAATCCCACACTTTTTGCTACCAGTAATAACTGACTCCACTGGTTCTCATTGAAAACTTGAAGCTCTATCAGGTTCTTGTTTGGGACATTACAGAACTCAAATGCGTTAGCGATTATTCTGTGATTTTTATTTGTTCAGGACCCCAGTGTTGACAGCACTGTCCTGCCCCCAGGCACGTATGTCAAAGTTTCCGGCAATCTGCGCTCCTTTCAGGTGAGTTTAATGTCCTAAAATCCTCTCCATAGCACCCAGAAACAAATTGGGACTTAGCTTTATTTATCTCCCTTGCGAGGAGATATTACCATAGGAAATTTAAGTTGCTGGTACATATAAGCTTGTTTCACAAGTTCTATGTTTTGGAAGTGTTATTCACATTTATAGCTTATGTATTTGTTGCCGTGTCATGCTTCTGAATTTTACTGCTGTTCCGTTTGAGAAGGCCGTGGTATGCTGACCAACATGGTTTTTGTTTGGTTTTAATGAACTAAATGTGTGCGATTAGGAGGATGTTTCCCAAATCTGACCCCTCCCTCTAGTTCCTCTGTGAATTGTCTGAACTTTATTTTTTCTTCTTTTTTCTATATGATTGACTGAGCGTGTGGGTGTTTGTCTTCCTGTCTCAGAACCACAGGTCTGTCGTGGCGTTCAGCGTCAGACCCCTGGAGGATATGAACGAAATCACCTCACATATGCTGGAGGTGGTCCAAGCGCACATGGTGCTCAGCAAACCTCAGAGCATGGTAATATATCATCAGCATTAACCACAAAAAGCCTTTCTTGTTGGTTGCAACATAGATAGTGTGGTAATCCAGTTAACTATTGGTTCCTATGAATACTACTTATGTTAGGGAATGTCTCGTTTAAGTTAGTGCAGAGAAACCCAACAGAGTATAGATGAATCCACTAGTTAGTTTGTGTTGTGCTCGCAGTACTGCTGCCATAAATTCAATGGCAGAGTCAAATGTATTCACTGACAGTGAAAGCACACGTTTGGGTTGGTCAGAGGCAGATGAAGGTATGAAGGTAGTCTGTTTATTGTTGGTGCAACTGACAACAGAAGACCCCAGCCCAGTTAAGACAAGAAATCCAGCTGTCTTTTAAACTGGAATAAATTTCACTCAATAATTTATTAAAAAAAATAAAAATAATAATATTAGTATAAAATAGTAATAAGTAAATAAGTATCTATATTTAAAAATGTCCCTAACACTGTTACCAGGAAATGCATTGTGAGCACAATTTAGTTCCGTTTCTCTTTCAGATGGGGACTGAAGGGGGAATGAGCAGTAACGCCACACCCATGTCACGGCCGGGCATGGGGAGCATGGGGGGGGTGACAGGGGGCTATGCAGGTGCTAACGACATGGCTAACAATGGGTTAAGTGGAAACCAGAATCAGGTGAGTCTAAATGACAGATTCATATTGGAATTTTACAATTCACTACCTTGAGAGAACTTGGCTCCATTATTATGCAGGTCAGTGCAGTGGCCTCATCTACAAGAACTAACTAGATATAAAAATTGTCAGTGGGTTAAGACCAGAGCTTTTTTTTTTCTTTATGCACAACCACACAGAACATTTTTTCTCTTACTTCCTGTCTTATTATAAGAATAACATGGTAACAGCATACACATGATGGTTTCACAAGAAACTAAGTTAGTAGAAGTTAGCAGAGTGGAAAAATGCTTCTATATTTGTAGTTTGACTCACATGTTTTAATGTATGTTCCCATCTTTCAAGGTGCTGAGTTTGATAAGAAGCTGTCCAGATGCACAGGGCATCAGCATTCAGGACCTGAAGCAGAGACTCAGTGGCATGAGTCTGGCTGTTATCAAGTAATAGAATTTTATTTAATACTAAATCATATTTTCTTTTTCTGATCCATCATTTGTTTTCTTTTAATTGTGAAGCACCTATCTGTCTTTGTTTTGAACATATGAAGTTCATCCTCTACCTCAAATGTCACTTTGACCGATCATGTAGGATTATTGTGAATGTGTCCAAAAGTGAGCTCCTCAGTAGAGAAAGTTAAAGTGCTGCAGAAATATGATTCACATTTGTCTATGTGCTCTAACAGGCAAGCAGTGGAATTTCTAAGCAACGAAGGTCACATCTTTTCCACCATTGACGAAGATCACTTCAAATCAACAGACAACGACGATTAGACACTCGACCTTCCCAGCACCAGTGGGGATACTTATTTGAATTTAAACTGACCTAAATCATAAGTATAGGGTTTATAACTCAAAGGTGTCAACTAAATCGCAACCTTTCTGAACTCTGATCTATTCAGTGCCTCAGAATTGAGAGAAATCCTGTGAGTCCTCCGTTTAGTTCAAAAGCACATTGTTTATATTCGATGACTCTGTAGATTTACACATCCTTTAATCCCGGGTTTGCTTCTGCTTTTTTCTAAGTCCTAAGTGTTGCTACTAAAGCTGTTAGCAGGTAATACTATTTTTCTGTATCCCCCCCTTCCACTGTATATCATTTTGTAATTTTAAATATTGGAAGCAAAAGTACTGGATTTATTTTTGTCTATGTAACTTACTTTTGACAAAATTAAAAGATAATTCAAAATACAGTTTGGTTGGCTAACAGTAACTCTTTTGTTTCATAATTTATAACATTATGAAATGCTTATGAAATTATATTTTTCCAACAAAATAAAGGTAATTCTTAATATTATAGTCTGTACGGTTCACTTTTCCACATTTTGTTGCATTAAACCTCCATTTCAAACAACCACTCCCTTCAATCATCACACAGCTCCATGATGAACAAGCCATTTTTGCAAATTTATTCAGATTTAAATACAACAACAATTCATTTACATATGTATTCTCATATTTAGCCATGCCACAACAAACTGAATTTTGCATCTTATGCTTTAGATGTTTGTCTTTACTTGACTCCAGGTGAGTCCATCTGTGTCAAATTCAGTTGACTGGGCATGATGCAGAAATATAGACCAACACATCTGTCTGAAAGACATGACAAAATTTGAATAAAGGAAGTAGGTCTGAGTACATTCTGAACTTTAAGAGATGTCTTTGGTACAAAATCCACGTACAGACAAGTTAAGCTACGGTGTCCTTGTAAGATAGTACACAAAATGAACTCGTATATTATGTTGTATATTATCTCTTTGGCAGGAAGCTTTTCACATTCATTACTCAACAAGTTTCAAAACTTATATACATTTTTTTGGGAACATGTTCCCAGTCCACAGTATATAACTGAAATGAGAATACTTCTATCATGGAATCTTCAATGAAATAAATAAAAACAGCATTTGACATAATGTGCAGCACCCTTTTGTACTCTCAGGTCATTAGTTTGATGTGGTGGGAGACAACGTTTCTGTTACTGCTTGCAATAGAATGCATGACGACGTGAGAAGCAGCAGAGTCTCCTTTTTGTCGCCACTGTGGTTAACTGTTGCCTCCCAGCAAGGACTGACTATTAGCTGTTTCTGTTTAGAGTTTGCATATATACACGGAAGGAGTTTGACATATACATTAAATGCTTATACAATAAAAAAGTAACCCATTACTACCTATGCAAAGCTTATAATTTTTGTTGTGAGATTAAGAAGTGTTGATTCAACATTGGCAATTTTAGGCAGTTTTGTGTATTCTTGTATTATACTGTAAAAAGTTGCTTATGTTTTATTCTAGAATGAACCATATAACTGTTTTGTATTGCACAATATAATTCTATTATTTACAAAACTACAAGTTACAGCCCCCAAAACTACCAAAGAATTAAATCAACACTTTTCTGACAAGTTTGAACAAGCTGTACAAAGGTAATGTATCATATTTCAACAAATACTACGATAAAGGCAGCATTAGTTCAGCCAAAGTTTGAGTGGTATACTGTGTAACAAAGCAGGGAAAACCTTGAAGAGGACGGAGTGGGTTGAGCTGTTGCCTGTGCTGATCATGTGCTGGTTGAGCAGCTGATACAAACAACAGGGCAACCTGCTCCATTTTTCTCTATTGTACCATGAGTCACCAGAAGCTCCTCAGGGTGCTTTAAATCTTGCAAACAATCTCAGGGGTCCTAACAGATGTAGTATACTGTCAGGAGTTTATAGCTGAATAATATAGAGCTTAAAAACTGCAGTACAAGGTTTTCCTTTACTCACTTTTAAATTCAGTTCCCATAGCCCATTGTTGTATGAGAATGTGATTCTTAGTAGAACATGACATTCTCTTGTGCTTTCTTCATCATTGTTGCAAAATTATCATCCACCGTTTCATAGTCGTGGTCACTGTCCTCATCTGCTACAACGTCACATACCGATGCTAGGGGGAAAGAAGCATAAGTTTATCAGTTAGTGCAACTTGTATACGCAGTACTCTATTTTTTCTTTCTGTGAACAAATCCAGTGAAAAGACTATGTGGACAAAATATGATAATAGCTTAAGAAGTTACCTTGCCTTTTTAAAATATTAAACTATATATTTGTAACCTTCATCTAAATATTTTCACCTTCAGCTTGAACATATGGGCTTGAGACTGAGTGCTACATACGTATAAGATAGAGAAGTAGGAGAGTATTGTTGGTTTTGGTCTTGGATGACATCAGAATTTACAGAGGAATAACATGAGACATAACTTTTAAGTGTGAGATGGATGGTTACACACATACACTGTGTGAAACAGTCTGAAGAAAGAGCTTCACCTATTTTCAAAGATTCCTCCATTTTCACGTATGTGTTTGGCAGAGCTTTGCTTGTTGTCATTTCAGGTGCTGAGTGCTTTCGGGGTACAACTGGTGGAGGCTGATCATCAAAGATAACCTGCACAAAAGGAGGAAGTCAAAAATACTCTGTTTTATTACACGTATGAGTTCTTTACCACAGCAAAAAGTGGAAGCATCTTGTGTTTTGCATAGTGTTTGATCAGTGTGAGATTTCCTGAAAGTTGAAATGTGAGAAAATATCTTTCTTAAACAGTTGTCACACTGGTTTGCTTCACTGAATAACTCACATTAAAAATGGCACCTTAACCACAAGATATTCTTAATAGCTCTGGGGGATGTACTACATGCACAAAAGCCATACTTACTGGAGGTGGGGGAGCTGGGGGTCTTTTTTTACTATTTAAAGTCAAACTGGCCAACTCTTTGGTTGGTACACCTTTATCCGGTTGAGGTTTGGATTTGCCTGCCTTGGATGCTTTCTTTGAGGCTTTTGATGATTTTTTTGGAAGGTCTGAAGATAACAGATTTCGCTTTGGTGGTCGAGGAGGAGGAGCCTCATCTGAGTTCCCCTGTTTGCGAAATTCATAAAAGAATGTGTCTGTCACCTCAGTAACCCTATCCACATGGCACTTAGGGGGTTGGTTGCTGGGCCATGGCAGGGGATCCTTGGTGAAAGAGACAGACATAGTGAGCCACTGGGTTGGGATCTCGAAACAGTGGTCTGGCCTGTGTGGAAAGCTTGCCTCGATGGTGGGCTCCAACATAGACCCCTCTATTCTGAGACATGCAAACCCAACTAATGGATCAGTCTCGAGTTCAGTGTCACGGCTCACCACTTTAACATCCAGCGGCAAACTAAACCCTTTACCCAAGTCCTTGAGTTTGTACTTCTTGTTATCAGATAGTACCTCCACAAAGTGACCCTGCATGTACAGAGGCAGAAAAATCTCCTCCTTCTCATTCTCCTGCTTGGCCTTCTTTTCATCACCATCATCATCATCATCATCATCATCATCATCATCCCCATCATCCTCCTCTTGAAGACGCTGACATAAAAGAGCCTCAACGGACTGCTTCTTTCCTTCGCTGCTTCCACAAGGCAACTCTATCCTTTCCCAGCGAACAACCTTCAGCTGTTCCCCAACACTGAGACCAGGCAGGCCCTCTTCCTCAACTTCCTCAGAGTTCCTTGTCACACTGACCGTCAGACCTGGTGCCTGGACTAAAGCAACATATAGCTCATACACAGAGTTAAACTCTCTTGGCCGCCTCCGAAATCGTCCACCATATTGCTGAGACACCAGAAAGTACTGCTGTGCCTTCCGGCTCTTCAAGCTCGATAACAAAACCATCGCTGAGGTTCCTTTTTTGTGAAAAACCAGGTGCTCATTCTTGCTAAGTTCTGCTAGCCAGTTGCACTTGAATGGAGGGCGGGTTTCTGGGCCTTCCAGTATCTCCACTACTGTAGGGAAGGATTCATCAGATTGGGAAAGGACCTCTGTCAGACTGAGTGGTGTTACAAAATTTACATCTTTGCACAATTCAGTGACGTCGATCACATCCACCTCTAAGCTGGACGGGAACTTCAACACATTCTTCCTTACTGTACAAAAAAAAAAAAAAAATGTGAGAGGCAATATTTGAAAATGTAGTGGCAGCACTAAATTAAATGAACTTGAACACAGTGAATAAAAGTAGCAATACTGTGTTAACATGCTCAATATAACAAATGTGTATTACATTATAACACAGTTTCTGTTTATAAGTGAATTTTTACTGATTTAGAAGTTGCTCAAGGTGTTTTTTGCGTTATTTACTGTTAGTTTGATATATAACAATGCATCATATCTAATGAACTCATCATTGGTTTTGTATCTAAAATCTTAATCAGTATATCAACTATTACAAATATGCTAACTATGACAATTTATTGCGTAATTTACACACACAAAATAATGAACATGTATGCAGATATGTAAAAAAGAGCTCTTTGTATGTAAGATCCAGATCATTTGAATTACTTTTTAAATCAAAGTAAAAGAAAAACAAAGTTATTCTCACAGTGCATGATGGCGTGGACTTGGTATATTGGACTCAGGATAAATGGCTTGTCACTTTTGATGGGGTTGTTGAAGCGAAACCTTCGGCTACACAGGGACGCAGAAGACATGATGTCCTTCAGGGTAAAGCACTCCTCGCTCTCACACTCAAAGAACTCCCCTCGGGAAGAAAGAGGGATGCACACTTCGGCCGAAGCTTCCTGCTGTCCTCGAACATGGCAGCGGACCTGATCCTCGTCACCCTCACGCCGCTCAACGGAGATCACAGTCAAAGCTTTCCCGGCCCCCAGTGTTAAATTTCCAAAGGTCATCTTGGAGCGGCTGGTGAAAGTGAAGGGAAGGCAGGATTCCAGGCCGACAGGCCTCAGGCTCACCATCTCTTCTACGGTACTGTATGGCATCTCCTCTGGAACAACCTTGAACAACCCTGAGAAACAAATATGTGTCAGTGGTCAGCAAAAAAAATCTTTATCTGTTCTCAAAACAACCTTGATAAAGCACAAACCAACCTGTGTGGTTAATAGGCAACTCAAACTTCTCATTGTTGATGATGTCTTGAAAGCTTACTGATAGGAGCTCAATACCAATGACCTTTATTAGATCCCCAGTAGAAAAGCACACTTCACTCCCAGAAATTTCATATATAGACCCTGAAAGAGAAAGTAAGAAATAGAGCAAAAAAGGAACAAAGAAAAAGATCACAATTCAGCAAAGAGCAGATACATCAAGCACAAAAAACGTTTTCTTATTTTTCTACGGTACACAATCTTACATACTCTGATCTGAAATATTTCTATCAATCAGGAACAGTACAAATATATCAACTGAAACAAATGCTCACTATTTTATTTGGTTTGGGGTTAAGAAAAGACTGAATCCTGTATACTACATAGATATAAATGTATGCAATTGATACAGACAGACATGATACGAAATCCAGACATGTTCCAATTTGTAGCGATCTAATCTCCTCAAGTAGTTTCTACTCTATTCATCTTTGTCCTCATCTACACTCACGGTATCAGTTCAGAATCACTGAAACAACAAAATGCCTACCTTGGAAATAGACTCCAGAGCAAACCTGTAGAATTTTTGGCAGACATGTATTGTCCAATGATGCGATTAATTGTTGAAGCGGCAAAGCAGTTGTGCCTGCCATCACTGCTGTCTCAGTGCGCTGTGATCAAAAATGAAGGCAGATAGCAAATGACAAGCACAGCATAAAAGGAGGGTGCTTTGTCAGTCACAAACCACAAAACTGAATGAGGAAGTCACTGGAGCTGTGTGCATAATGCTTGCATTCTCAGATGAAGCTCTTATACTGTTAAATTGTGGAAGAAAATGTTTCTGCCTGTTTTTACGTATTCTGAGCTATTTGTGCTGTATAAACTCTGATATATACCATCACCCATGGAAAATAGACCAAGACACTCAAAGATGAAATCTGCTTCTTTATAAGGAAATGTGTTAGCGCATGTGTGTGTGGGAGCTGCAAATAGTGCAATGTGCACTCCATTCTCAAATACACAAAATCAATTCTCTTTCAACATTGTTACAAGGTCTAAAAGACCCAAATCCCCCTCATGTTGTTTCTGTATGCCAAGCAGATGGACAAGTTGCTGGTCTGGCCAAACACAAAGTTTTTGTATCACGTAGCAACCATGTGGACAGATTGCACAGGACTGAATAGAAAATCTCCCCAGCTCTGTCACACAGCAATGATGCCAAAACACAGAATTAATGCTTGATACTTGATAGGAAGTACTGAAATGTTCCACTCAGCCATGAGCTCTATAAAAATTTAATTTTAGCGTATTTGTAATTTTAGTAAATGTATCTCAAAGCATCAAAAGCCTATGACACATCCTTCACACAGCAAATGTACTCTCCATCTACTCAAACTACTTACTATAAATGGTAGAAAGAAAGAGTGCACCTTCACTTCCTTCTGTTGATCTGCACTAGAATAGACTAAGCATCCTCTCGTCTCTGTGACTTGACGCGGCTGCCCCTCACTGCATCTCTCAAAACTCACACCGCTTTCTGAGTTAACCCAGCAACAGCCACAAAGATGCTGTTTGGAATTCTTGAGGTGTCTCCCCCCTTTTCCATGATCCAGAGTGGTATGCCATGTCAAACTTTGACATATTTAGAGAATGGATGGAAGTAAGCTATTCTCAGTAACCAGAGTCAGAGCACATCTCATTAGGTGAATGGCTCATGCAACAAATATAAACTTCTGAGAAACCTGCGGTGTTCAGGTTCTCAGGCCACTAGCCCTTCACCGCAGCAGGAATCAGGTGCATTTTAAAAACCATCTTTTTTTCTTTTTTTTTTTACACAGTTTTTTTGAGTCAGAAATTAGGGTTCTGAGAGCCTCTAGTGGTCCTTGGGGGAATTCTGATTTGTTCTTGGTCACTGTAATTTCCCTCACTTAATATTAACACAATGAACATGACATTTCTGCTTCGTCTCGCGTTAAGGACAAAATGATAATATAACTCATTAAATTGTGTCTAATTTAGCCTTATTTGGATATAAATCGTTTAAGGAATGCAAAACTTCAACTCCCATCACCCCACGCTGACGTTTACCCATCATGCAGCTCGGCCTTGAGAAGATGAGGCAAGATGGCGACTAAAATAAGCAGAGACAGTCCCCCTCCTTTTGATTGTCCATCATGGTGAGAAAATGCACATGCTAAAGTTGTAACGGTTTGTTTGTAGCGCAATGCCAGTTGCAAATGAGCAAATCAACGTTCAGGCATTTCAATATCATAACTTTACTCAGAGAGAAGCTTGTTGGTACTATAGCTAACGTTAGCATCTAAGTAAGCTAACAGGCTAACACGTTAACGTCGGCGTTTATCCACAAATGGCGTTGGGTGTTTTTCTCTGCAAGAGGATGCTTCATGTGTTTAATTGGAAGAATGTCAGATATGCACAGAACGCTTTCATCTATTAAAGCAGGACATTTTATCATCTCTTAGCCTTTGTCTTGATCTGTGATAGTATTGCTCTTGCAATAGATGGCAACCACTCTTAACGTTTCCATGCTAGCTGAAGAGGTTGCAGCACTTGTTTTTACGAATTAATCTCAGCACAACCAGAGTATCAAAGCTAAGTTGTCAATTTATCCTTTGTAATGATAAACATTGCATACACGCCCGTAATGTTGATTGTTTAAATGCCTAAACTGATCACTAACTGTTTGCTCTCAGGGCAGGCAAGCCGCCCCCAGGGCTCCATCTAGACGTGATGAAGGGAGACAAACTGATAGAGGTAACTGGAAGCTTTGCCATCAGCTCAAGTTATTGCATACTCGTGTTAAAGCATGTAATGGCCTATAATAAATTAGTTCAATGCACCAGATACAAGCCTGACAGCCCACCTTGTCCCAGATGTGTTGCACACTGGGATTTTGTATGGCTGCATGGCTTCAAACGGTGCGAGAGCAGCATTAGCCCTGAGATTTAAGCTTTGCAGTGGGAAGCATCACTGTTGAGTTATGGCTCAGAGGCACAGATTCATTGCAGACTGTTTACAGACTTTTTCACCAGCTCTTGTTAATGACACTGACACTGAAACTCTGTCCCTGTAGAAACTGATCATAGATGAGAAGAAGTACTACCTGTTTGGGAGGAACCCAGACTGGTGTGACTTCACCATCGACCACCAGTCATGTTCACGTGTCCACGCTGCCCTGGTCTACCACAAACACCTGAAAAGGGTCTTTCTCATAGACCTCAACAGCAGTAAGACACCATTCACATTCATACATATACTCATTTAATATTCAGAGCCATTGTCTGGAAAGGTTTGACATACATGCTATGCCAAATTATGTACAGGCAATACACGTTACAGCTGAAACCATTCATTGAGTAATCGATAAGTCAGGACACGGCAACTATATTGACAATCGATTAGAAAGTGAAAATGACAAACATCTGGTTCCAGCTTGTTAATGCTAAGCATTTTTGTTTAATATATTTGTAAATATAATATCTTTGGGGTTTGGACACTTGAAACTTGAGTATTTCACTTCTGGCGTGTATAGCCAAAACGATTAATCGAGACAAAAATTTGCTGGTCAGTTAATGATAAAAATAATCATTAGTTTCAGCCCTGATACAATATTTTTTCTTGAAGAGATGTCATCCTGCCTGATTTCAGTTAAATTTAAAAGCTTTGACCTGGCCTTCTTTCTTTTAGTTGCTTCACACCTGCCTTTGTATAATCACATGGAAACATTACTAAGTATTTTGTAATCACATTTGATTTATTTCCATAATGAGATAACATTCGAAAACTAAAAATAGTTTCTCCTAACACACGCAAACCTTCTTATTTGATTGTCACCGTTTTAGCACATGGTACTTTCCTTGGACACATCCGTTTGGAGGCACACAAGCCTCAGCAGGTTCCCATAGACTCTACAATATCTTTTGGGGCCTCAACACGGACCTACACCATCAGAGAGAAACCCCAAACCCAAGGCACTGCTGGTACAGGGGACAGTAAGACAGGAGAGGATGAGGAGCTGAAAGGACTGCTTGGGCTTCCAGAAGAAGAAACAGAATTAGAGGTACATTTAGTTTCTTGATAATAACAATATACCACGGATTGCTGCTTTAGGTAGACTGCTAATAGATGCAGCATAATGTTTAAAATACATTTTAGTCCTTTAAAGTTACTTTATAGATGTTAATGGAGCATTTTGTTGTCCAAAATTTGAGAAACATAATTTTAAAGTAAGAGGTAATGATTAAATGACCTGTTTATGCCTGTTACCTCTGTATTAATGAGTAGTTATGTTCACTTGAAAAAATGACAGAACCTGACAGAGTTCAACACAGCTCACAACAAGCGCATCTCCCTCTTGACCATCGAAGAGGGCAACCTGGAAATCCAAAGGCCTAAGAGGAAACGGAGGAACTCCAGAGTTACTTTTAGCGAGGAAGACTCTATCATTAACCCAGGTACAAATCAAAGTGTCCGTGATACTGAAGTAACACAAGAAACTTATACAACTCTGTTGTTTTTACTAACAGTGCCAATACAAACTATTATGTAGAACATTAGTCCTGTTTCTTGTGTAAAGGTTTAAAGCATGTAACTCAGACGGAAATGAGTTTTAATTTTAACTTGTTACTTTTTAAGTTTACTCTTGGTTTGAATATATTCTCCCAATCTGCCTTTTTGCAGAGACTTTTACAGACTGTAAACATATTCAATTATTTGCTTAATTAATTTAATTGGAAGCATTTTACAGTGAGGAGCCGCCTGTCATGCTGTAAATATATAGTGTAAATGAAAATGTAACAACTGTAACACTGTTTTAAATATTTACAGAGGATATAGACCCCTCAGTGGGACGCTTTAGAAATATGGTGCAGACTGCTGTCATCCCTATCAAGGTAAGATTTGGTTTTGTTATTTAAGATTTTTATTATTCAAATAATGTGTTGCATTTAGGTAAATTTAATATCTGGTCCTGTGTAGTCTGCAGTGGGTCAGATGTATGACATGCAGAGGTAGAAACTGTGTAACGTCGGGCTAAATGTGTGACGTACAAAGTTAATACTCTGTCTCCCCTGCTGCAGAAACGAAGATCAGAGGGCCAAAACACCCTGGGTCTTGATGAACTGACTTCAAAACGTATCCACGGCTACAACTTGGGTGGTGGTCTTTATGGGGACTTGCCTCCCACCAGTCATGAGAACCAGCCAACTGGAGCTCCAGGAGGTGCTGCCATGCAGGGAGGGCTTCCTCTGCCCTTCCCTAATCCAGCACCAGAGGTGGACCTGGCCCCAGAGGCTCCCCAGCCCCCTGTCACCCTCAACCCCACACCTGTCACAGCCCCCTATCTACCAGAGACCCACAACGAGCCACGCAAAAAGAAGTATGCCAAAGAAGCTTGGCCGGGCAAGAAACCCACCCCGTCACTACTCATCTAACCAGTTTCATAAAGCTGCTGACTCTCAGGTTACCGGTAGATACATCAGGGACTGTGACCTGGCAGAGGTGGATACATTCACTTTTTTTTTTATTTGTTGTGTCACTCATTGTCATCAGAAAGGCACCACACAATTAACCTGTGGTGTATCAGAAGATATCATCTACCTTACTAAGTCAGCAGTTGATATTTTGGCACAAAAACAGCTCAATCTTGTTGACTACAAACAAAATTAACAGACTTGGCAGTGAGCATTTTAGTACCACATTGGCCGTTAAATATACTTGTCTGAGTGAAAGAGTACATGGATACGATGGGTCACCAAGTTATGTTTTTGATGTAATGGATGTACATTTTTTTTTTCTACTAAACGCGTTGCAACAGTTTTTTTCACTCCTTCAATATTTTGATAATACTATTAAACAAATGGCTAAAAAGTACTTTTATACGAGATATTTTACTGTGAGAAGTCATGAAAGTCAGAGAATCCAGACATGAAGTCAGTCTCTATCAAAACACAGGGCTGCTTTTTATTTTGAAAACTTGACATAATTTTAGTCTCGCACACTCAGACATTTGTATTACCTGTTTTAGACCAATATGACACTGATTGAAGTTTCTTGCATTTGTCTTACAAGCCACTAGATGGTGACAAGTGCGCAAAGGTCAGAGTTTTCAATGAGGCTTGGCTGGAAACATGCAAGTACAATTGTTCATGGCCTGTTGCACTAACATTGTCCAAAATCTATATGTGGCATCACATGAAAGTGGTGCTGCAAGCTTCTAGTTACTCATTTGGATTCTTCTGCAGATAAAAGCCATTGCCCTTTCCAAACAATATGTTGGTCATGTCAATTTGTCCTTTAGGTTTTCTCAGTATATTGAGTTTTAAATGGTTTGTTGCCTATTTTTTCCAGCACCAGTATATTGTAAATACTAGGATTTTACAGTTTTTTTTTACATTTGATTGTTAATTGGAATGTTACTAAGTAGTAACAGATTAGAATGGATTCCAGCACAGTAACAAATACCAATTTTGCTGCAAAATAAGAAGTTAGTGAAAACAAGTGTTTGGTTTAGGAAGATTTAATGGTCATGTAGCATGTTAACATCTTTCACATGCAACAGAGTAGAGTGCAGTTTATACCGTATACTATTCATAATTTGTTTACCTGAATCGAACTCGGACATAGGAGGAAAAGAAGACAAAGGAACAGAAATGCATAGTTAACCATGTACTCGAAGTCAAGTAAAGGTCCCATGAAATGGTACATTTACTTTTTTGCTTTTATTCAAAGTTAGACGGTAGACAAGAGAGGCAGTGACCTGCAACAAAGGTACCTAGCTGTAATCACACATAGGGCACTGTGGTTACAATGCACAGAATGCATTGTAACCACAAGGCCACCACGATACACATTTCTATTTCCTTTCTGAAAGAGGGTGTTAGGTGGGATATTGGACCTTGAGGCATGGTGTAAACTGGGCTTGTAGTTATGTATGAAAGGCGGGTTGAGTTTAAAGAACAGGCACGTGGTCATACATAAAGATGCACTGTTCCAGAAAGAGCAGTTTTCCATGATGTTCAAGTGGCCATTTCATGGGATCTTTAAATCAGTAAAAGGTTGAAGATCAGAGATCAAGGAAAGACGAGGTGTTTCATTTTTACAAACTGTGCTGGTGACTTTTTGTCCTTGTGGGCCTGTGGATTTTGTAATCATATGACTGTAAATAAAAAATGAATTACTTTTGACTCAAAACTCAACAGTGTTTTCAGCTGTAAGTAATTAATGTTGCATTGAACTTTGTCTAAAATTAACTGTCTGTATTCCAAATTTATACCTGATGAAATGTCCTCTTAGAGCAAGTACTTTGCTCATGAGCAAACAGCATAGACTGAGAACAATGGTGATCCAGTGTATTTAGAGCCTATTGTGTTGCATACTACACCTTCCCAAGACTTTATCATGCAGGTTAACAGATGTCTCAGGAGTACATTGGACCTGGTTTAAATGAGTTCATGGGACACTTAACAAATCAGTTGCAGGTCAAGCAGGAAGCTTCACACAATGGCAGTAAATCCTGTTAATGTTTAGGTACTGCTTATAGAAACAAAAATTGAACTTTCACACTACTCATCAAGAACTTCGAAAAAGGGCAGGTAAAAAGTAAATTGATAATGTATTTACAAATGAAAGGAAAATATTTTTTCAACATTTGATATTTATTACAAACGGATTACAGTAAGTGCAAATGTCAAACCAAAATGAAGGGTCTTTTTCGCTATATTCAAAAATGTCTCACAACAAAGTGTTACAGAAAGAGAAAAAAAGAATATCAACTTATTATTCAGCAAGTTAATTCCCCAAAGGCATATTTAGTCAATACACAAAATACTCCACAGTTCATCATTATCTGTTAAGTTATATATTAGTGTAAAAGCTTAGTTAAAATATTAGAAATTAAAGATAATTTAATGATTCCCTCATTGAAGTGGAATTTCCAGTTTCACCAGTATTCACCAAAGTTATTTCCCTTTACACTTGTGGCTCTACGGGCTTGATTTTAATGTGGATGCCATTGAGTGAGCGGAGCACCAGTCTAGGAATTATCTTGGGTTTCCAAGCGGGGTCCTCAATCAGATGATATCTCTTAAGTGTCAGGGCTATCACCACTTTCATCTCATTCATGGCAAAGTTCTGACCAATGCAGTTTCTGAGGGAGGAAAACATAGAATCATGTAGCTATATGAAGAATATAAGGAATGAAATGCTTTTGAATAATAACATGAGCGGTAAGCAACATGTTGTCATGAGAGTCGACAGCATGAGAGTGTTTAGCATATCTTGTCATACATTGTAAAATAATCTTTGCTAAATTAAATCATATGCAGTGTGTGCAACTGGTGAACTAGAAGCTTGAACTAGCAATAAGCTTGAACAAGTTGGTACTTACTGCAGACTCATTGTAATGTTAAGTTATCCTGGTATACTAAGCTTTCCATTGTCATGAGATCAATGCTTCGTTACACTAATCCCTAATCAAAGACGGCTGGTGCCAGGTTACATATCCATATACTGCAGACCTTTGTCAGATAAATGAGTAAACAGCATGAAGTGAGTAATCTGTAAAGAGAGAACCTCCCTGCCAAGTTCTTACTGACACAGTCACACGGTATCAGGTGTGGACAAACCTTGGCCCAGCTGAGAATGGCACAAATGCATGAGGTGACCTTTTGGAAACATTCTCTGGCAGGAAGCGCAGTGGGTCAAAGACCTTTGATGACAAAAGATGGAAAAACAAAAACCAAAAGTCAGTGTGGAATAAATCACACATTTTCTAGTCTTCATCTGAGTTTATGCTTATTCACACACCTGATATAGTAAGTGAATAAACCATGACAGCACGCAGGAGTCAGCGTATGACAGTTAACCAGCCAGGGCACTTTAATTGAGCACCACTTTGATGATTTTTCCACATCTATTATTTGACACATTTTATGTAGAAGCAGGGTGTGGGCCGGCACAGCAAAGAGGGATCATAATTTTACTTTTACCACTGATTCTCTTAATATTGCACAACATTTAGGGAGTGGGCACAGGTGAGCTTTCACTTCACAAAGATTTGCTCAGAATAAAATCATCTTGACTTACATCAGGGTTTTCCCAAACGGCTGCATTCCTGTGAATCCCAAACACAGTTGTTCCAACATGACAACCTACCAACAAAAAACAGAACAAACTTCAATATATTCAAGTGCGAGCAAGCTGCTTCTACCATTTAACCCCTGGGTCAGTCACTATTGACCTGTGTTTTTGCTATGTAGCCAAACATTGGTCCGACCCACAGAACTTTGAGACAAAGTCTATGACCTTAAATCTAATTACGTGGAAACAAAAAGGGGAAAATGTAGATCAAAGTGTTAATATGTGCTTTATGTTGTGAAAGGCTGACTTTGCAAAACAAAAACTAGGGTCCACTGTGGAAAACAAAACCAATACAAGTTAATAGTTTAGCTTTTACTAGCAGGGTAAAAGTTATTATGTATGTAACAGTTTGCTATCTTATCTATATTAACTTTCCAAAAACATTAACTAAGACATTGTCACTTTCTCATGCACCACAGACCTTCAGGCACAGTCCTTCCATCAAAAAAGGTCATGGGTTTGGTGAGTTTTCTGGACATTCCTGGTACGGGAGGGTAAAGACGGAGGGATTCTTTTATGCACATTGTAGTGTATGGAATTTTATTAAGATCCTCCCTAAAAAAAAAAAAAAAAATAAGACATACACACAGTGTTAGATCAATACACAATAAAGCAACAGCCTAAAGCTCATTGAAACCAGCACAGAGTGACACTGACTTGCACTACATGTGCCAGTTTTTTCGAGGCACAAGCCTACCACTCCATGGTGTCCTTGCCATGTAGGGCCTCAATGATCTCATCCCTGCAAATCTTCTGGTGTTCTGGGTGGCAGGAAAGACAGTAGAGGATGAAAGAGATGCCGCTGGCTGTGGTGTCATGGCCCTCGAACATGAAGGTGTCCACTTCTGCTCGTAGATCTTCATCTGACAAACCCTGCTGTTTCTCATCCTGAAGGTGAGATAAAAGGCAAAAATATAAAAAATAAACACTAGCCATTCAAGTACCTACTACCTACTTAATTTGTCAAGCACTTTTTAAAACAAGTACTGTATGTTACAATTAAACCATAAGGAAAACACATAAAACAGACAACAAAGGTTATCGCAGTCAGGTTGATCTTGGGTACTGGAAGTCATGTAGATAGAACATGACTATATACCCCTTCACTAGGTCAAAGATGGAATTAGTAGTGACAAAGGATGTGTGCTAGGAGATTAATAGGTACAACAGGAAATAAGGGCAGCTGACAGGCCAAAACCACAGTGCGTGTTTAAACAGAAGATATTCATTAACGTAATGCTATGTATTTTGATACAGTAGTTTGTTGTGTATTACCCTAGCATCACAGAGTGGATAAGTGGTGTGATAAGAGTTCATGACCCTTGAAGCTATGAACTTTTATTTGAGAGAGGAACCTTTCACTTTTGTCTGCCTCCACAGCGACTGATATTTAAGAAGAGAAACACAAACTGGTGGAGCATTACATAAATTAGAGCTCTGTTCTTTTGAAATCTGTTTTGAAATGAACAGAAACACTACATTTAAAAAAAGCATACACTTCTTTTCTTCTTTGCAAAAATTTGATTTTTTATGTATGCCCTGCTATGTTGACTGTATTCAATTGTCATTTGATGAAGCTATCTTATCTTTGTGTCTGTAAGAAAGTATTACCATGCATAAGCTTGTATGCCAGCAACAAAAGTTGAGGTGAGTAATGTCCTGGCGGCTCAGGGATATTTACATCAAGCAGATCCTTCGGAAGGCCAGCACTGTCCTAGATTGTCTTGTTAGCACCTGCATAAAGAATTTGCCTTCAGGCCACTGCTTAAGAGTGCCTTATAAGAGGACTGTTGCCTTTGTATCAGTGGTTGCTATGCTGAACATGAGGCTTCTGCACATTAAAAGCAGCCTTCTCCGTTTCCTTTTACACTATGGTTTTGCCACTTATACATAATATGTGTATGTTATGCTAAACCACCTCTAATATGGTCTCAGGTTTTATACATGACTTACTGTTTTCAAATGTTTTTGTCCTTTTTTATTTTCATATATTTATGTGTGGTTATAACCACTGTTTTAATTGTTGGTGTGGTGTTTTAAACCCTGGCTGCACATCAAACCTCCCTCTATTACTATTAGTTTAAAGTTATTCTAAATAATCATTTTCAATTAATTCCTCTAACTTGTAACTTCATGTTTTCACAGTTGGTGTACAGTACAAGTACACTTTATTCAGTTTGTTTCCAATGTCCAATGTTGGGGAGTAACTACTTACAAAATATATGTAATTGTAATCTGTAAAAAAAAAAATTTAATTAAAATTCAGTTACTAATCAAAATGTTGATATATCTGTGGACAATGTGATTTCTGGTAGGTGATAGGTATAAGATCTAATAACACTCACTAACTTAATTCAGTATTGTGTTTTCATTAAATATTAACTTGGAGATGGTCATTAGGTTCTGAAATGTCTACAGGGTACCAACAGATTAAATTAATGGTACTGAAAAGTAATCAAAAAGTAATAAAATGTAAGTTACATTACTTTGATGAAGTAATAAAAACATTTTGTAACAGGGTAATGAGTAATCTGTGACCTATTACATTTCAAAAGTGACCTCCCACTCCTCCAACACTGTCAATGTCAATACACTGAGAAAAAAAGTTCAATTTTGAAAAGTCAGAGGTTGGAGCCAATATTACATAACATACTCTTGCAAAAAGAAGAATGTCCAGAAAGTCCAAGTTTCTCTTGGCCGGTATGTTGTCCAGCTCCTTCTCTTGCTTTAGTGCTTCTTTCCTCTTTCTTATAACCTCCTCTTCAAAAGATGAGATAACGGATGAGTATTTGCAGACTCTAGAAATAGGCATACTATACTAAAAACATTTACAGATCTACATCTACTACACTACAACATTTTCAGATTGTCATTAATCAATTTTTGTGTGCAGAGCTTACCTGTATGACTGTGAGCCACCCTGCACACTTTCCTGTATCTAAAGCCATGTGGGCTGAGGTAGAAAATGAGGTCGTTGTGGTATGGAAATGTCCTGAACCGCAGGTTAATCAGATCACTGAGTTCATACACTGCTTTGATGTATGTATTTGTTCCACTGAAATGAAATGCAGGCCAACATCAAAAGCTACATTTCCTCCACTCATGATTAATGCGGTTAAAGCAATAAACAACTGTGAACTCGGAAATGAAACTCCGAATGGTGCTAGGAAAGTTTTTATGGACTCACCTCTCAGTCTGACAGTTGCTGCTGTAGCTGAATGCACACTTCAAGATGCTGTCCAGTGTCATGAGACTCACGTGTTCAAACAATTCAAAGGACTCATTGGTGGTTGCATAACTTTCCCATTTGTCCTGGCAACAGTGAGAGAACAGATGTGACATCTCTGCAGGATATGGAAAAACTCCAACACAGTTATTATCCGCACAAGCTGTAACAGAAAATATGTCATCTAGACAGCCATGCCTTGTTATGTTTTAATTGTTACTTCACCACGTTGATTCTCCTTTAACTATTAAGAATTGTGATTTACACAAATAAACTGTAATGTACATACCAACATAGTTTTAGCGGAATCTGACATCAATTTTACGTATGCTTTCAAAACATCATAGTGGAAACCTGGTGTCAGGAGCCGTCTGTGACGAAACCACTTCTGACCTTTAGATACCAATAAACCATCCCCTTAAGACAAAATGACACAGTATGTGTGTGAGTGAACAGCCAAATCTGTAATAAGACACGATATGCTGCAGGAGAAAGGCAAAGCAGTCTCACCAATCCAAGACTCAATAAACCTATATGCCAAATCATCTTTTGGTTCTGTGAGGAAAAAAACACATAAAAATCTTTGTTACATTGACCTTTGGTTGTGAAAGATAATATAAACCACATTTGACTACACAGTTATCATCAGTTCAGTCAAGATAAATATAACAACAGCTCACACACCTGTTGATGTCAGTATGGTTTTTACATAATCTGGATGGTGAATGTTGAGGAAACAAACAAAGGGACCAAACCACAGTGGGAAAGCATATGGGTACTCTTGACCCCAGTTCACTATCTTCTCAAAGTCTTTCCCATCTTGTTTAAACTGAAAGAAAAATGAAAACACAGATGCTTGGTGAAATTTTTCAGTCATGTAACCAGCATAGTTTGTGAATGATTCACTGAAGAGGACAATCTGATTATTTACTTAAACCATGATGTTTACCAACTGTGTGTTTCTAATGTTCAGTCATGTAGCCTGCACGGTTTGCAAGTCCTTTAATCTTTTTATTTGATTAAAACCAGTAGTTCTCTAACTTTTTCACATCAATGACCCCTGAACTGACAAAAATTAGACCACAGACCCCCATTTGCTAACTTTTTAATCACAGAATCCCCATCTGTTAAGATTTTAGCTTTTACTTATTTTATTACAGAAAGTATTTGAAATCCATGACCAATATAGTCATATATCCTGTCATTGTGTTACTTATGGATGGAATTATTGTGAAAATAAGTTATTCCCCTTTTTACTGTGGGCCCCAAGGTACCCATCAAGGACCCCCACTTTGAGAACCACTGGTTTAAACCATGACATTTACCAGTTGTGTCTCTAATATGTAGTGACAGCAAAAATATTTAGAGGTAAAAGTAGTAATGCCACATTGTATATATTCTTTAATTCACTGAAGTGAATAATTGTTATTACCAAAATGTATCTAAGTATCAAAAGTAAAAGAATTTATTATACAGAACAAAGGATCTCCTAAACCTCTCTGTTCTGCAGTGAGATGAGATACATACATAATACATACATAATCAAGACTGATTACAATTTGTAAACCCCTTAATAAATATGCCTTATTAGAAAGTGGTATTCTTATATAAATTTGATGTAAATGTGTCAGATTTAGCCAAAAGGCTAATAATATGTAAACTATGTATCTACAAAGTATTTACAGCTGTCAGATAAATATAATGGAGTATTATAAATAACATAAATATAATACTATACATTAACAGTGGAGTAGAAGTATGAGTGGAAATATCTTAAATAATACTTAATAAAACTGTTTGCAACAAAAGAGCTGGTTACACTCCACCATTGCTACTGTGCTCATAAATGTCATGCAAACAACTGGCATCGTGCAGGATGCGAAACAGTTACACAAAGCTGAAGTTGTTGCTACGCTGCTGAAAGCTCGTGACTGAGTTACCTGCAAAACATGTCCAAAGAGCCAGTGTCCCGGTGGTCCTGGAAAAGCTTCAATGCTTCGAAACGTAGCCTTTCTTTTGGCGATCAAGACAGTTAATTTATACACAACGGCGAAAACACAAAGGAGAGCGAACAAGTGATGCATGCGAGGCCAGCCCAACTGAAATATTACGAAAGCTTCAGTTAACTCCATCCCGACGATGCCCGTGTGCCTCGGTGCAGGAGGAAGCCTCTGTACGAAACAAAATGTGACGTGCTTGGAAATACGACACTGCAAGTCGCTTCCGATTCGTAGCTTCCGATTCGGAAAGTTAAGGGAAAGTTAAGGAAAAGTTAAATGAAAGTTAAGGGAAACTTAACTCCGTGTTTTGCACCTCTTACTGTCGTGAAAACGTATTAGACATTTTACGTAAAGCCTCTTATCGCTGTCTGAAACACACTTTCAAATTTGGGAAACTTTGTTTTATTGGAAGAAATGCAAAAAAGGTAAACTACACTGATTTTCATACCTAGTCCGCATTGGACCACGTACAGATTAAAAACCACTATAGCCTACTTAGGGTGGTCAAATGTGGACTAAAGTATCCCAGAGAGACCAGATAATCTTTACACACAATTTCAGATTTGTGAAACCAGAAAAACAGCAACACTTTACTGCTTTTTTCTAAAGAAGTCTATACAAAAGTATAAAAAAAAGTAGAATAGTTATTTTCAATTTTTAAAATACAATCAAAACCTCTTCACACACTGGCCAGTTGGTTAATTTACTTTTCAAATAATTCTTTCAAACAAAAATAACTGCTGTTCACCCAAATTTTCTCTTACTGGCTATGGTCAACACTACTTCTTTACCGTAGCCTATATTAGAGGTACTATAATTTACCCATTAGTGTTCTTGTTCTTCATTGACATTTTTATGAAAAGCTTTCAATACTTATCAACACTTGATTGAGAAATAAATTAATATATCTAGTTTATCTGTTCACTAAAATCTGTCATCATTTCAGACGCTGCTCTTCCTCTCCTGCCAGTTGTCTTACCTTTGCCTGTCACTTGACCTCGCACCTGCCTGCAGACATGAATTCCTGACCCCATCCAGAGTTCACACTGGAGACCTGCACACTAGCTTCACCATTTGCCACATTGTGTATAATGTCTCTTTGCAGCCTGTTTGTTTTGCAAATGACAATACAAAATCAACAACTCTCTAAAACAACTGATCACTAAAAACTTAGACTGCATTAGTTTTAGCTCGATGTGGGCTACCTAATAAACTGAATATATTGAAAAAAAATTGGATAAAAGTTTACAGGAAGAGACAAGTACAAAGCTCAAATTAAAGGCTATCATGTTAAGAGTTGTCCAGATTAAAGAATGTGCAAAAAATCAAAATCAGAACATTAAAATGTTAAAGGGCTCAGCATTGGTAAGCTTGTGCTTATGTGACTCACACCCACACCTGACTCATGACAGTTGTTCATGTCATGTAAGTGTTTCCATTGTTTCACTTTCCAAACATGCCGTTTTCTGTGAACCTAAATAATCCTTAGACTTTCTAAATATTTATATAAACCTACATTTTGCATTTACATTTACATTTACTGATTTGGCAAAAGCTTTTAGCCGGAGTGACTTACAAGCGAGGGACAATGCAGTAGACGGTCCGTACTAAGCACTATTGCAAGATGATCAGAAGTGCACTGAAAGTGCATAGGAAGTGCTAGTTAGGCATGTTATGGTGTTACAAGTGTTAGAAGAAGTGTTCAGATTACATACTTACAGTACATATTATGAAGTACAGTAATATGGTCATGGCAAGAAACTCCAGTTAAGATAAATCATGGCAGTTGTAATTCACAAATCTCAGATGAATAAACAATATGAATTAGAATGCATAAACAGCATAGTCAGCAGTGAGTGCTTTAAAAGAGAAATTATACTTGTTACTGGTGCACATACTCAATCTTAACACCTATGCTAATGTGAAAAGGAGCATAAATGCCACACGTTCAGAAAAACAGTGTGGGTGAGAGCCACGGTAAATTTCCTCTGCATTGTCTGTTGGACCACTTCCGATGTGTCAACATGAATTTAGTCTTTACACTCAATCTAAAACCTTCTGATGCGACACAGTCACTGTTCTATGTTTAAAAGAGAAGACATAGTATAACCACAGAGGGCGAGGTTTTGTTTGTTCACTATTTTTTTCTGAAGAAATGAGAGTGTCTCAACCATGATGCAAAAAGTCTTAATTTTTCTACTGATCATTTGGAACTCATCCACCTTTTCCTCAGAAAACAGTGAGTAACTGAATAAATCATTAATATGATCATACTGTTGTCTGACAATACATTATTTGTATTTTTAATTTTTTAAAGCTTCTAGAGTTGTAACTGAAAACTGATATTTCAGCAGGCAGATACAACCTTCAATTCCTGCTGGGATGTCAAGCTGTGATACCTTGTCAACAAAAGAGTGAATCAAACTCTTTCAGATGGTTTTACAAGAAGAATGAACATAGTCATGAAATCAGGATATTTTCTCAAGATAAGACAGGGCTAGCATTGCATCATGCATCTCGTCCCAGAGGGAGTATTACTAACAATGCTGCCTTTATGATCAATCATTTTGGAGAGGAAGATCAAGGCCTGTACTGGTGTGAAAACTGTTATCAAGGCAAATGTGAAAAGTCCGCAGTCATCAGAGTCAAGAAAGGTTTGATTTAATATAATTGTCAGAATTTCTTCTCCTAAGCCAGAATTTATCTGAGATACCAACCTACTGTGTTTATTCTGTCATGTACATTTCTTAAATCATTTGCCAAAGCTGATCGTCATCCTCAAAGCCCTTTACCTTTTTTTTCAGCAATTCTGGATGAAATTCATGAGACATTTTATGTGACTGCAGGGAACAGTTTTACACATGCATGTCCGGGTGAATTTACTGACTTAAAATGGACTTTTGAAGCAAGTGACGCGACGGCTCCCAGGATCTCGGCAGTGAGATCGAAAATTGACTTTGTGACTTCCAACAAGTCTATACACATTGTAAATGTTGAAAAAGCAAATGCAGGGAAATATACCTGCTGGATTAGTGGATGTGATGGACACAGACAGAAGTTACTGACCATCAACTTGTGTGTAGTTACAGGTATGAAAATAGCACACACATACATTGTCTTATGTCAATATTAACTGGTTTGACTTGTATTTTTATTTTTATTTTCTTTGCCAAATTGCAGTGCACCAAATTGAGAATTCATCTGTTTCTTGTGCTTTGATATGTGATTTGGAATTCAGTCACAACAAGTCTAACAACATATCAAATAAGGAGACAGGCACAAGGATGATATCAGTGCGAGTAGAGCTGTATGGGTCTTTAAATTGCAGTGCAAAGCGGATCTTTGATCTACAAATAACTAGAAGTAACAGCACTCACACACCATCAAATGCTTTAAACAAAACAACAGGTGGGTGTTTTACTGTCTCTCTCTCTGTAAGGAGTTTGTGATCTGAGTGAAAGGAATATCAGCTCTTTTATTTTTGGTCTTTCAGATATACATACAAAGCTTGAATATCTGACGCCAGTTATTTATGGAACATCAGCAGCCCTTGTGTGTCTTATTTTAATGGCACTTTTAATTTTCTACTTAAGATCAAGATCACGAGCAGGTAGGCTACACTGCTTTTTTATCTTATTGAGACTTCCTGTTTATTGCTTGTTCAGTGGTCTGCTGCCTTCAAACACTTATTGCACAACGGCAAAAGGTTGAAGTAGATGTTTCAGGGGCCTGGGCTTGGCAAGTTTACATGACCCAGTTGGCTCTGTTTCTCTTTCTGTGTCTCTTAAGATATTTCTGATCGTGCATCTGGCTGTGGCATTGAGGGCAGGGTAAGTGTTATATGATGATGATGGTAATGATGATGATGGCATAACCTAATACTATTTACCATGCAGCAAAGAACCAGCGTGTATGTTTTTTCTTGAGATAATGAAATTTCTTACTTCTTACTGCAGGGAGAGGAGACTTCTGTGGTTTATTCATCATTTGTCATCAGGAGACCTGCTAAGACAACAAACTATCATGTGACTTCCAGTGATTGTGTGTATAGTGAAATACATGTAAAAAGAAAGGAGGTCCCAAATTAAGAAGGCCCATAAACGCCTCTGTTATGACCACCCTTATTGTCATATGATTTAAAAAATACTTGTAGGGGGCTACTTATGGGGAAAAGTGTGGGTGACTGCTGAATTCTCTCCTCAATAAAAATGCTTTTATTAGTTCTTTTCCTTTTTTTTCTTTATCTCATCAATCACAGCAACATCCATTCTGAAAAATCAAGAGGATATTGCTATTCCATAATTCCTAGCTCCAACATCACTAACAATTTAGGAATTTGAAAATATCTATGTTTGTCTAGACAATTTTAATAAAAAAAACTGATACTAATTATTGATAATGATGTTTTATGTAAAATTATTACTTGTGAGTAGTCTTTAGATATAGTAAAGGAAAGCAGACTACTAATACATTTATACATGTAAGTATATTTTTGGGTAACTTGTACTTTAAATAAGTATTTCCATTGATAGTCATAGGAATATTGTACCTTTTTCCCACTATGTTTATTTGACAGCAATGGTTAAAGGGCACATCCAGCATAGGTTAAACTGGTCAGCTGTAGGCCCATGTGAAGAACTAAGAATTAGCTTTACCTCAACTAGCTACAACATTAAAATGTTTACATACAATTGTGTAAAGTAAAACTTTATTTGAGTATTACCACTGTATGTTACTTTAGACTTCTGCTTTACCACATTTTGTAGGGAAATGCTGTACTTTTTACTCCACTCCAGTTTAAGACTTTAGTGACAAAACCTGTGATCAATTTGTGAAATATGATTGTTGTAACAGATGAAAACCATGTAAGACTATAGAGTTGCCAAGTAAAAATCAACTCCACCTCGGCCATCAACAATTATTGCAGCCTGCATGTTAATCAGAATCAGTTATGATATAAAATATTCATATGCATAATAATTGAACAGCACGAAAAGTACTTTTTATACTCTAAACAAATTTGCTTATAATAGTTACTTGTGCACTTTTAAGCTAAATTTACTGAAGTAAATGATCTAAGTAGTACTTCCACAACATAGTTATACTTATAGACGTTAATGGATCATATATGATAATTTAATAATCTAATATAGGCAGATATAGTAATATAACACTGTAAGGAGTAC